TTTTATAAAGTTAAAATCAAAAAGTGTGCCCAAAAAGAAAACATACTGAAATTTTTATTTAACTGTATAAAGTAAATAAATTGTAGATTTCTGGTAATCAATATGTCTTTCTGAAAATTAAATACAAATTATTTGGATATTAAAAGCTTTTTATTTTTAATTTTATGAATATAATAACGACTCTTATCACCTTTTGTCGCAAGTACATTTTGTCGGGAACACTGAGAATGCCGACCAAGTTCCAGAATTTGACCTAAACAACAGTCATATATGTATATATATATGTGTGTATATATATATATTTTTTAATATATATTAATGGTTATATTTATACTTTTACTTGTTTTGTCTTTTTCTTAATTTCTTTCTTTTCATTTATTTTTTAATTGCTTTTGTACGATCAAGATCACCGGATCTGGACTTGGTCCGTACTTCACATATGACTTCGATTTCGTTCCTTACGCCCAAGCATCGCAACGGACGTCGATTAATCCGCCGAACGAATCACAAGTGTTTTGAACTCTACCTAAATATCTTAAATTTAATGTTCGTTTGCTCTATTGACAAAGAAAGTAAATAGACATGTGCGGAGCGTTGTCGATCGATCTGCCATCTGAATCAGTGTTGACAATTTGCTTAAATCAAAAAGAACCGCGTAAAAATAAATAAAATCATTTTCAATCAAAGATTTTATCAAATATTTAACTCATTATTCCTTTTTAGTACAACTATTTATAAGGTACAGAGAAGTGAAATGTAAAATATTTTTTTTCTTTTTAAATAGGTTAGAAAATATTCATCCAGAGGACAAGATCCAGAAAAATATATGTGCTTTCATGTGATTTCGTGGAAATCGAATTAATCCTGACCTCTCTTCTCTCTCTTTCTCTCATCTGTTTTTTCTGCAATTTGTTTATTTTCTATTTCTCTCGCCCATATTCTCATCTTAATAGCTAAAAACACTTTAATGAAGATTCATATAACACGAAGAAACTGGAGCATGCAAACTCGAAAGTGCGTGCACGAGATAATAATGAATATACGCATGACTATGACCGCTCGTATCCTTTGCGTGTCCCTGTTCGTGCTCGAACAATCGTGTTTCGTATTCCCGAAAGAAACGGCTTGAAATAGAAGTAGACGAGTTTTTATGTTATGTGTTTAAATGAAGAAAAATGTTTTTAAAATCGAGAAAGCAATATTTTTTGAGATGCCTTACATACCTTTGGAAGTACAAAATTGGAAGAGTAGAAAAACGACACTGTAAAACGCGAATGGTTTTGCTTGAAGCGTCGGCTGTTTGTTTTTAAATTACACTACGTTATTTTAAGTATCTGTAATTTTTTTAATTGTTTGTAAGTTTTTAATTTTGAATGATTTAAATCAGACAATAAAGATTTCAATATTTGAGAAGAATATTACAAACATTATAGTTACAGTAAGCACCTTACTGTTATTAATATTTTATTACTAATACTTACAACTATCTCTGATGATCACTGTTGCTACCATCAATGGTGCTTTGTAGGATTTGTTTATTATTTAACAACCGATGCTCCAATATGGACAAATGTAGTTAAATGCATGAAAGATAAAATTGCACGAGTACATTCCTTATTAACTATATGTATCAACAAGTTTTAATAGAAACATAAAGGAATGAGAACTTTAGATTATTTTCTTATTCAGAAATTTATCTACGAATGTAAGAAATTTTTAAAATTTTACTGTTTTATACACAAAATAAATAGTCAATAATTTTTGTACCCACGCAATTTCAATGAAAGGAATGGTTGCAAGGAATGAATATAGGAAACATACCAACTTGTCAACTGTGTGATTTAAAATCCCCTAAAATCAATATCACCAAACTTAATCGATCCATACTTCTGATTGTCCATTTGGTACTAAAACTAAACTATTTAAGTGAAAATCTCTAGATAAAAAACAATTAAGTCCTGTAGTAAATGAATTTTAAATCACACGCCAAACGTTCCTATTTCTCGACCAAAACTCAAGGAAATTGATCCGCAATATCACAAGTTCCTCGTTTACTACGGAAGTTCGTTAACTAGATGACAAAAAAGATCGCCTATCTTTCCCTCGTTCTTCATATGTCTCTCTCGTCCCAATGTTACGTACAAGTGTTCAGTGTGTTTTATATTTATGTATTTTTGCCTCGTGATTTAGGCCCGTAACTGGCGATGAACACAAAGAGTATTAATATACATTTGAACCCTTTGAAGCGCGAATGACTTACGATTATATTAATTCTATTATGGTATAATAGAATTATGGAATATAACATGGAGTACTTTCGTGCATGTAACACAAATTTCGTTTGTAATTTGATTACGATTTGTCGGTTTCACAGTTGACAAAATATATTATCTAACGAAAGACGTAAGCTAAATGACATAATGGAACTTAAGTTATATTCTAGTAATTTTTATAGTCACGTCGAATAATTTTTCATTACACTAAAAAATTTTAGGTTAAAAAGTGTCATATTTGAAATTGAAGTACGTAGATCTTATATACATTTAGAATGTTAAAAACTTAGATGCATGAGTTAATCTGCAATAATCAGGAATTTCTTCTAACCGTTAGAAATTTCCGTTTGAATAAGAAATACAAACGATCAGAAATTAAGCAGTAAGAGATAATAATAGGCAGTTATAATAAAGTTTTGTAGAGTTCTTTTTTAACACTGCCTATATTCTAATTTATCTTTATAACTCTTTAAGGAGATAGAAAACGAAATAAACATGATGGAATATAGAAAAAAATATTGTACAAATTTTTTAAACGATTCATTATAAAAAAAGTAATGACAATAAAGTAGATAAAAATATTTAACATTTCAGATACGTCATAAAAGACGTTTACATACATATAACACTTCAAAGGGTCAAATATGAATAAAAACGTATTTTAACAAATATAAGTTTCTTTCACAACACCATGAACTTCATGATCATGCAAATATACTTAAGTAACGGCGAGGATATCAATAACGAAAAATTGGGGAAAATGGCGATGTTCAAGTTAGAAAAGCGAAAAAATGGATCGGCGATATCTCTCCTTACCCTTTCGGCTTTCTCATCGGCTAGCACGAACCGTAAAATCGAGGTTAGGAATAATTAATTCAACACATTACCTCCCTCCTCGAGCATGTTTGCTATAGCGAAAATCAGTTTTTGATATCTCATGTTTTCATATAACAAACTACCAATCAACTGAATCGTTTGTCCCATGGGAAGCTCTTTAAAACGTACTCGAAAATACAAATTTCTTTTGCCATTATCTCAATAATTATGTCACTAGTCGTACTAGTCTCTAAAGAAAAATATATATAAGAAAAGAAAAGATTATTTGTAGTAATCGATCTTCGAGTACATCTTGAACAATCATCGCATAATTTTACAATTTTTTTTCACATATTCATATAATTTAATAACTGTAACATTAATATTCATGATTGCTTTTGTGACCACGTAGACTCGTGACTATCAAAAAGGGCTAATACAATATACGGAAGTACTATAGTTTTTATGAAAACAGTAGATTATGCAATCACAGTGGAAGAAAGAAACCGGTACAAAAATTACAGCGTAATATTCACAATGAAGAAAGTTACGGAATCGGACTGGTACGTTATCTAATCGCAAGACTGAGCTACAAACTATTGTCACGAGAATAGCAATAGCTATTATTGTTATAAAAATAGTAATGTAGCTGGTCGGAGAAACTTTTACCCCCTTCTATCTTGTTCCTCCGATTTCTTTCAAGCATCTTTACGCACGAATAACTTGTTCTACGGTTTCTTCTTTAATTACCATAATCTGTATGAAAAGAAATCGTATATTTACTATCGAAGCAATTCTATAAGAAATTCGTTTCTTTTCTTTCCTATTTTTTTTTCTTTGCTTTGGACGTGATATGTTTCTAGTTATAAAGTGAAGATTACAGTAAAATTCTCTCATTCCATCGTAAATACTAAGGTTTTTACAAGTTTTTTGCGCAAAGATGCTTCTCATCATTTAACAATATTATTCATGCTTGAGGAGGTAGGTTAACGCGAGAAAGTGTGCGTTGGAATGAAGAATTCGATAATATTAAATACTATTTAAAGAGAATAACGTCAGAACACATCGAAATGTTCCAACGGTAAGATTAAATAACATCTGATTTCATGAACGACGAGGAGCCATCAGCCATCTTCGAATAGTAAAATTATGCAATTATACGATTATAACATGAGAATTTCATGAGGTAGCGCGAACATTAGAATAAAAACAGACTATATCATTAAAACTATAATTACTTTTCCCTTACAGGAATTGTGTTTAAACATGTAAGTATTTCAGTGGCTCTATTCGTCGTTCTTGAAATGGAAACAGCCCGTTGAGCGAATTTTCGGCTGAACGAGATTGCCACCAAACAACTATATTTGTCTTTTTTCTTTTTTTGTCTTTTTTCTTAATTTTTTCTTTTCAATTTTTTAATATCTCTCTTTCATTGGTAACGATTCTGTAGCAGCTATATCTACGACACCGATGGACGAAACGGATCGACGAGGATAACCCGTAGATAGGAATTATTCTCGCGTTTTTCTTTTTTTTTTTCTTTAAATAACTATGGTATCTCTTCTCCGTCGATATTGTTAACTAACGCATCGCTACCGAACGCACGTTTCTCACTAGTTTGTGATATGCTCGAAACGCAGGTCCTCCCGTTCGAACGGGATACTTTCAAAAACATTTATTTATTTGCGTTTTATTTTATCTTTCTAGAACAGGGAAGTCAAACGCGATTTTTTTACATCTATTTTTCTTTTAAATGCCTCTAATACCTATTTATTTCCTTTGTAAAGTTGTTTCATGCAAATTTGTAAGATTTCTTGATTTTAGAGAATGTGAACATTACATTTTCAAAATAAAATTTTACATATTACTGTAAAATTCGTGAAAAATTGTTGTATTTAATTCTGACTTCCCTGTCAATGAGCCATCGCACGCAGATTTACCAACACAGTTATAGCCGAGTTGTTCGATACAAATACTAATGTGCTCTTACTGCACGTTTATATTTTAGAAATATTACCTAGATGAAAAAACACCAGTTACTGTTTTTTATTAAATTCTTGATGTACTTCTGCGTCGACGTGTTCTAACTATTGAACTGAAATATCTAATAACAATTTTGCGTGGTATGCCCCGGTAAATTCGTCGACAATGATGTATAACTTTTTTATATTTATTTATTAACTAATTAAATTAAATTTTTTTGTTAATACTCGCTTGGTAAACATTACTACATGTTCCCAGTACGTTTATTACCGAATCTAGTGACTTGTATTATTGGTACTTGTATTTAATTATCGTATATAGTTGAAACTTTGAATGTCTTATTATGCTATAAAAACAAGAAAGTTCCTCCAAATATTGTAATTACAATATATTTATTTTGTTGCACTGAACTCGACCATCTGGTGGTTGATCTCTTTTTACTCCTTTCTAACTACTTTATCTATTTCTCTCGATAACATGAAACAGACTACCCCAAAGATAAAACAGTTCTGACTTCGAAGACATACCACGCGGGGTGTTCTTAACGCGATTAGAAAGACTGGAAACCAGAAACATGAAGTCCTCCCCCTAGCTAAATGACTACGAGTGGAAACAAACGTTTCTCAGTCTATGTCGATCACATCCGGATTCTCCGATGATCCCTTTCGCTGACGCATCTTCCGGCGTAGCAGGACTGTCCTCAGGATGCTCGGTGATCGTAGACCCGCGACTTCTGGCCGCGGGGCATGCTGCTACGCGGCCTTGTGCCTCTTCCTCTGTTCCCTTCGCGTTAAACCTGAGACACCTGGACTGCCAGAAGTACTGCCCTTTTCGCAATCGGCAGTTGGTAGTGGTTTTAACTCTCTGAAAAAGATTATGATATTGTTCATTATAAAAATTTCATTGATATATTACTATCTATTCTTTTTCACTATGTTTTCAATAAATAGGTTTACTATACGTATAGATAATATGATGTAAGAGTTATAGGCTAATTTTGATCAAACCTGTAATTAAGAAGCTCCTCATCATCTGGCACTCTAGATATGAGATCAAGAAGCTCGTTGTTCGGAACTGAGTGAGGTCGGACGATCTTTCTGGAAAATTTATTTACGCCCCACACCAAGATAAGGTATCTAAGGGGAATGAAGTAAAGGACAGCGATCCCGAGGATTGTCAGGATCACGGCTAAGTAACTTAGATAGGGAACAGTGAAATTGAAGAGATTCTTCACCCGTTCACAGAGACTGGCTATGTAACCAATTGAATTCTGAACAGTCTGGGTTACCTCTTGAATTGCTTGCAGTCGCTCTTTCAGACTTTTTTTCTCTTCCTGAAAAAGAATCAATGCACTCTCCATTAGTATAAGAATATCTAATATAATAAAGTTTAATAAGAAAGTTTATTAAAAATATTATTATAAAGAAGTAAATATTAAATAAATTAAATAATTTTGTTTTTTCTTTAAATTAGTTTTGAAGAAGAGGAAACTTATAAGATTTAATTATTTTATTACAGAATAAAACTAGTTTATACAAATAAAAATTTTATTAACAATTTTTTTTAATCAACATAAATGTTTACAAAATTAAAAATAGTAAAATAATTGTAGAAAATATTTACTTTATCTTTATCGTCATCGTCGTCATCGTCATCTCCTGGGGTGGTAGGGCCTTCGTCGATTTCGTCGTGGAAGTGGGAACTCGAGTGATGTGACAAAGGCGTACCAGTTATTAATGCGACCTGTCCGGAAATTTATTGATTGAATTTACTTTTGCCTCCATAAAAATGGTAGATAACAAAGAACGTGGACATGCAGCAATGCAGGTAAGGTTCGTCAAACAGTTGATTTTCATATATTTTATTATGTATATTCAAGAGTAATCGGTTTTTCACGTTTATTATTTATATGCAAGCTTAAACATTGAGGAGATTTTACAATAATGCAAAATCTACCAAATACTAATTAAAAAAAAAGAAAGATAAAAATTGATTTGCAAATATAAAAATTGCTCTAGTTTATGCAAAATGCTTTCATGATAAATTTTGAAAATTTATACGCATAAATTTTGAGACACCATTGTTTTATCACCTTATGTGAAATACTAAAATATCTTATAAATTTATAAAAATATCTGACAGGGAAATAATCTAAAGCACAAGTCAACTAAACTTCATATCCATGCTGATCTCGTTTCCTTTGTAACTTTAATTTCATTTACCTTGAGGAGGAAGATAATAATTTCTATTAAGTAGCACTAACAATAGGAAATTTAGCCAATGTGCAGGGTTACCTTGTTGAATGGGACATTTTCTAATCTATAGAATTAAATGTTGCAAATGTTATTAGTAAATAAGAATTCTGACATTAATAGTATGTTATATATTTAGCAGGTACTTAAAATAAGCATATAAGTTAATGGCTTAGCAAATACTAGGTAAGGTAAGTGTCAATAATTCATGAAAATAGTGATAAGTGTTTCAAAAATATACTTTAACACTAAAATACACTATAACAGAATATTTCTGATTGATTTGTTTACATACCAGATAATACTTTAACAAGATTAGGAGTGCCATTCCAGGAAACATGTAAGGCTCAAAGTAGTAACAACCCAAAATAAAGATGACCAGCGCGACGATGCTCCTCATTTTACTTTCCCACTCCCAGCAACTCCTAATAATACCATCGAACAGAAAAATGAAAATCAATCACTGAATATCAAATTCAATTATGGACAAAAAGCTATGCATAATGATATGCATAAACATAACATTACAAGAAATACAATTAAATCATTATTAATCATCATCTTTGCATTCATAGTATACTATAAACTACATTTAATTCACGTATATCATGCAATTCGTATACTAAACATCATAACTATTCAAACTGAATAAATTGGGATGAAAGTTAAGGCGTTACGTACTGCACGTATTTTCCAATGTCGATGACAATAACGATGATTGCCTTCAGCCTAAGAACATTGCGCAGAAATACTTGTCTTTTGAATTTTATTTCTGGCTCCATATATTTCTTCTCTTTGGGATTTAACGTTCGAATACACGCCCTAATAACGTTCCACACTACGGTCATCTCTAGGAGAATTTGCGGAGAATTTCCTTTGGCTCGGCCCCTCAATTTTTTATCCTTCAACGCATACCATCGCTTTTCACCGTTTCTTATTTTCAGAAGAGGTATGGCGATTTTCCCGAGAAACTCTACTTTATGGTCCCTGTCCTCGTCATATACTGTCACCTCTAGCACCGAATTAATGTCTTTTACGTTGCTAAAAAAAAAAAAAAGAAATAACAATGTTATACACTTAAATTACATATCTGAGTTACTCTTGAACTCACTATATATTCAGAATAACTTACAAGGTGAATATTTTTTGCCAGCTTGGCGCGAGCGTCTTATATTCTGTCTGGGTCTGCAATCTGGCGTTCACTAACTCCAAGACACAAAAAGGATCGCTTTTGCCACCCAAATCGGCTGCTGCTAGACCTTGTGCTCTGAATACCTATATAACCATAGAGATATTTTCGAATCCCAGAAATGGAAAATAATAAAAAGAAATCATAAAAACTGCGAATCCTAAATTTATACTCCCAACCCGTTACAATGTCATATTGTGAAATTTTCTACAAGATTTAAATTTTCTATTCTTTTTAAAACATGTACCTTCACTGTTAAATAGCCAACATCTCGTACCCTCTGCAACGTGTTCATGAATGCGTATCTTTGGTATATTTGTTCACGTTCACGAGGGGTCTCTTCGTGTGCAGCTAAATCGCTGATCGTTTCACTGGCGGTGGAACCACTAATAGTCAACAGCAAAAAGATGTTCCCAGAGCCATCCTCAAGATCTCGCCATAAACGATGAGTCGTTTCGCGTTCAAGTGTTGCCAAATCAATTACCGCTCTGCCCATTAAGTCGTCCTGGTGACTTTTATCACGATCCCAAACCGTAACCTCTAACTCTTGATTTAAATAAGGATCTTCGTATAAGTGAAGATCAAACTGTTCCAACCAAACAGGATTCAAGGTTTTGTGTACCACTTTTGATTTGTACTTTTCTGTCCCGAGACTAAAATAATATCAATTTAATTTATTAAAAATATTTTCTTGGGAATTGAACAATTTAATAGATAATAAAGTTATTAATCAACTAATTATTGAGTTGTGCAGTATCTCAATTTAGAAGTTGTAATGTTTAATGTACACAATTATTCTTTAAACAATGCAATATAGTACACTATATTTAATATTTGAAGAAGTCAAGTATTTTACATAACTATTTTTAATAATAAGAGAGGTATTGGGAGTAAAGGAGTTGAAAATAACTTTCTTCATACCGAAATTTGACATAGGGATCCGACAGACCATCTATATCCATCGGTAATAGATTCTTCGCCTCCACAAGAACAATCGTTACTACGGAGCTCCATATTTGCGACTTCAGCCGTCTATTTACGTCTGCCAATCGATTGGTCCTTTGGAAGTACTGCAAACGTAAAAATATGTCACATGAAATCGAGTTGCCTGTTGCTGTAAAAAGAAAAAAAAAGAAATAATTTTACTGTTGGAAATAATTTGAGATGAACATACGTATTGGAGAAAAGATTAGATAATATATCGATTCCGATATTAATCTTTTATGAGATTAAATGGTTTCAGATATAACTGCCATGTTAGTTTCACTTTTACAAATGTTATGTATTACGAGAAATGTTGGAAATTGAAGTTAATTAAAATAACCGTAATTGACACTCAAAAAATAAAAGATTCGTTAATATCCTACATCATTTTTTGCATTACTTTTCTATATAAATGGTGATTTTTCTTTATTAACGTAACACCAAAATACTCAAATCTACCCTATGAATATCCTCAAGTTTCTCTTTAACATTGTCCTTCAGCTTATCGAACAGATCGTGATGCTTCATATCTTTTATTTCCAAAATCTCTTCTTCTTCCACTTTCGAATGTTCAGGCTTCCTCAACTTTGAAATCAAATTTACATTCTCAAATCCCGATCTTTCTGGTTTCTTCAAATGCTCCAACTTAATTTCTATTCTTCCCTCTTCATCTTCTCTTTCCGGTGCGGTGAATTTAAAATCGAAGTTCTCTTCAAATCGTTTTTTCTCGTTGAATTTTCCTTTCTCTAACTTTGAACCAGCGTCTTGTTCGTTCTGAACAACAGAATATGTTCCAGAAGGCCTACGATGTTCAACAATCCAACTTTCTATAGGTAATAACCACGGATGCTTCTCCACGTTCTCCATCCATATTTTCTCCACCTGATCCTCCAAGATCCTCTCCACTGAACCCATCTTTCTTTCGAAGGAAGATCTCAGAGACCCAATCGTACTCTTTTCTTTTCTCCTAGCTGGTCTTTCAATCAACAGACCATCTATCCTCCTCTTAGAAGAAGCTTCTCCAACATTTTCCATCTTACCATGCAGGCTCTCCAGTGAACTCCACCTCCTAGTGATAGGGTCTGCTCTAATCTGTTCTTCCAATCGATTTTTCTCTTCACCACTAATTTCTACGGAGAAATTATTATCAAAAATATCAACAGATGTATTGGACATATTTTCTCCATGTTTTACTTCACTGTTTTTAGCGATCGTGGGATCATTTTTAAGATCATTTTCCTGGAATGTTTTTTTTATCGTATTTTGATTATTTGTTGATGTCTCAACGAACTTGTGGTCTTTAAAATGAGCCGTGTGTAATTTTGATCGTCGAGGTGGTGCCTCGATAGTCTGAGATGTTTCCGAGATATTTTTATCATTTTTACTACTATCTTTCTCCGAAAAATTCTCGTTCGTGCCAGAAGACCGACGATCATTGTCAGATCGATCAAATCGCATGCTTCGTATCGCTTTCCGGAACACTGCATCCACTTCCGATGTTACTTCCTCTAATGATCGGTTTTTCGCTGTGGAATCCTCTTCGAATTTGTGCCGAAATCGGTCCCGATGTTGGTCCCAAAATTTTTTCCATTTTCTCTCGTGGGTTATCTCGTTGGACACTGCTTTGACGAATTTTGGAGAGGATTTTGTAGATATGTTTTTTGAATCCACTGATAACTGCTTTGCAGTTATGTCGCTCACTTTATCGTGCTTTAAGAAGCTACTTCCGCTTCGTGGAGTTACCGTTGGATCTTGATCAGTCATGTGGAATTCGGATTCGAGATCTGACGATTGATTTCCTTCAAAGAATTTTGAAGGAATATTTTTCTCGTCCTCGGAGATTCTTTGTTTATTATGTCTTCCAAGATCTATTTCCATCTTCTTCACTCTACAAATAAGCGTCTTATAATAAAGCGATGAACCAAGAAATAAAACTTTTTAGATTCTTTGATCGGTTGTTGTGAACGATTATGATGCTATTCTTTTGAAACTCTTACGTGACCGATAAACGCTCGCCGCTGGCGTTTGCATGAGAACAGACGCCTAATTGGTACGACGTAACGTGACTTCGTGGATTTTTCTTGTTTCCAGTACTCGATGATACCGAAGTTACGATCATCGTTGTTCTCTCTGAAAGTATGGGTTCAATGGAGGGATCGCAAGAAAGTTCCCTTTAACCTGCTAACTTTCTCTTCTTGTAAAGTTGCTCCTCCTGTCTTATAGTTTTATTATAGGATGCTTCACATCCCACGAAGTTTTTCTTTTACTTTGTTGAAGGATTCATCATCCGGTTAATAAGATACTTTTTGTAATTTCTCTGTAATAAATATTCAAAAATACAAAAAGAATGCGAGTACAAAATTTTAAAAAATTATAATGTAAATAAAAAAGAATGTATAATCACATTTTCGCGGTACACTGACAACAGTTTGAATCAAGAAGAAATCCAAATTTCATTTTGCAAAATGGCGTTCATTAGCATCCAGATTTCTCTTGAATATTTCTTCAATTCTTAATTTCGTTAGCATATCGTTGTTATTCTTCTATTGTTGAAGTTCAGTGAAATATTCTGTTTGATTAAGTTTTGACTATCAAAACTAATAATACTAATGAATCTTCAGCATAGTCCTCTGTTTTTTATGCCATTAAAAGTTCGGTCGTAGTTTGCAAATTTCTATTTCATTCTTCGTTTCCTTCTGTACAATAAAAAAAAATTATTGAATGTAATTAAATAATGTATAAAAATGTAAATTAATTAAACAATACAGTAAAGAATTTCAGGTAACGTATAAAAAAATTCTCAATTTTTCATATTTTATAAAGATCAGAAATCATCGTGTAATATTTCGAATTCGGCAATTTCTTTCTCACGTATTTTTAAAAATGTTTGTTGTATAGTTCAAAGCTTTCTCACATATCAATAAAATGTTTGTTAACGTACAATAGTAACGACATTAATTAAAAAAATTATCGATAAAAATTTTCAAAATAATTGCTATTATATTTCGACGAAATATATTTCCAAGCCGAGAGATAAAAAAGATTCTATCAAGAAAATCGGTTTTCCAATTTCGCTAAATTTCTACGAACTCGCACCACTAACACCTCAAAAACGCAAACGAAATCACAATAGCGTCTCTAAATAACCCTCATACCGCTCAAATCGATCCCGCCAAGGCAAGCAAACTCTGATCCCATACAGATGGTCGCGTGACCACTTCTCCTAACCCAAACTGAAACGTAGAATCACCGTTCGGATTAAATGTAACGAACAAAGTCGAAATTTCTTATTCGACACCATCATTTATCAAATCGAACCGAAAATCATTTTATCAAACAATATTACAGCAAACAAAATGCTCGAGTGTAAATTATCGATATATGTACTTAGTGTCACTGATTGTGAGTCATCTAAATGTCTCCGGTCACGTGGGCTCGTCGAAGTCGTGATTTAACTTCACCACCTTGCAAGCTATACGTAGCAGTATTTTGCCATTTAACCGCTCAGAATGATTTCTATTTCGCGTTTCTTCCTTTCAAAAACGTCTAGCCTGTTCACTTTCTACATACACCGCGTATTGCGATTATACACTGTTGCAATGGTAGAGAAACTGTCGGAGAACACGTTAGCAATATGCGGTGAAAACAAAGGAGATACACCGATAAAAGAAACGTTATTTTTAGTGGCTTGTTTTCATCCGTTCCACGCGAATTTTTCCTGAATTTTTCCAAATAATTGATTATCTTCGAACTTGATTTGGAGAATCTTCAATGAATTATTCTCTTCTGTACAAATTGGCTTCAAAAGTAGAACGTTGGTTATGTTTTTGTTGCAAAGCTAGCTGTTCGTTAAGCTTTGTGAAGGTAGATTAAAAATAATAGATTATGTAATAATAAGAACAGAAGAAAATATCAGCAATAAAATCACAAAGACCATACCCGTTGGACTAACGGTGTGTGACTGCCTAACGATATAGCTTAACTCGACACCAACTTCTCTTTCCCCTTCTCCGCGCAATTCCTGACAGAAGGTAAACATTATGATATCATATATACATATACATAACTTGAATGTGAGCCGGTCCTCATATTAGAGTAGGCAAGTATCTGAAACTCTTCTTCCGACCTTTTTTTAAAAACTAATATTTTGAATTAAAAAGTACATAAGAAAAGAAGTTTTAAATTCAAAGTATTTATTACGAATTGTGCGAAATTTTTTTGTCAATGTAATACGTAATGACCTATGTGAGTGGGGAATATTCAGATGTAAATTGTTCCAAAATGGTTATTTAAATCTTGTTATGATTTTTAAAGAAATCTCCTTCGTGACGTTTCGAAATAACTTTTTGTTTCTTACTTCTGATATCTAAAAAATAATACAATAAAAAGAATGTTATTTTCATTGAATTAAATTACAGTTCATGTATTTGATAGCATAAGATGCTTACACAAACGTTATTCAATTTTGTTTATTTAACTTCTTTTAAAATCCATGCGTCGGTGCTGATTGATACATGTTAACATCACATGAAAGAACTCTATTAATTCACAGTTGCTATTCGCGTTAGTAAACGTTTCCTTGAACGGATTTCTTTTATCGTATCGATAAATCGATGTTACATAAGCAAGCGTAAATCGCACTCGCATCTATCAAATTACCAATGAAACATCGATTTCGATTATCGATAAAGCCTTTAAGTGCCTTAACCTTAAAGTTTAACTGAAAAAAAAAATTTAATTTATATCGGATATAAACTTTTAAAGCCAATACATTATGGAACAGATTGCTTTTAAATCGATTTCCATTAATTTGAATCAAAAATGAATTACGAAGCGTGTGTTCTCTATAAGCCATCGTCGAGCAGTGATCTTTCTGGTCACCTATCGGCAATATTGATCGTGATGTTAACATGATACACAGATCCATCTGGCGTGTGTCTGATGAGCTAGTCATCGGTTAAGCCAAACCTCTACATCTCTTTGTCCTTACAAATATTTTTTAAATTGCCCGGGTAAAAACAGATCGACGGGTACGAAATGCACGCCATCACTTTGCAAGATATTGAATTACTTTGAGAAGGTTAGAGTAAATTCTGTGAAGGATTGAAGACAAACATCGTTCCAATTATAACGCTAAATACGCAAAAGTATGCTTTATCGGTAATTAGAAACAGTAATCAGATAACAGGCTTAACTTGATATATAACGAGATATGTTACATTAGCGTGTTAAAAATCATGTTTACGTTGAATTTTCTTCATTTTGATTGAATTTGGTTATTTTAACCGCGAACAATTCAGAGATGCACTCGACTAACTGACACATGACAAAACGATACTGGATAAACCACACTGAATTAAACGAGAATTGCTATTATATTTTGTTATATGGCAACCAAGATTAATATATATAACCGTACCGGATGAGTGAAGCTTCCGAAAGAAATTTAGATTTAAAAGTGGAAAACAGATATGTATAAGATATTTTTAAATGTCGATTGATTTGTTACAAGGTAATCACAATTTTGATCACTAATCGGATACTTAAAATGATCCCTTTGTTCCGTTGCTGATTGATTATATAAGATTAGAGTATGAAATCTTAACCGGAAAAGATTAGTCATTTAATGTGATAACTACTGTACATTGTAAGGCCTATACATTTATGCGTTGACATCTTGTTTAGAGTGTTTATAGCTACTACCTATAGTTTTATTGAACAATAGTTTGATTAATTTCTAATACAAGTGAATTTAATGACAATTTTTCGGAATGTTTCTTTCGGATATTTTTAAACACATCATTTTAGAGAATCTAGAACTAAATGTTTATAAATGTTTATAAACTGGAAATTTTGAATTATTATTTAATTACAGGTGACATTTGCAAAACTAGTCTGCAACAGAAAAAATCTTAAAATAATTAATGTATTATTCTTTTATTCTTTTACAGAATTAAGAACAGAATGACCAATTTGTTGATAGATGTCCTTTTATACCAAACATTTTGGCAGTTCATGTATACTGTCTATATTTCAATTGCTGCCTGTCAAAGTTCATAGTCGAGAGACTTATCGTTTATCGATATTTCGCTGCGTGGGAGGCATCCTGCTCATCAGAACATAGAATAGTTCGTTGGACAGCATTTAACGTTTGTCATGGAGAAGAGTTCAAGGCATCTAACGAGTAAAACTCAAAAGGATACTCCGAAACATAGTATCAGTCCTAAAACTTGCCTGACAAGCTCTGATTTTCCATTAAAGTACTTCAACGCTTCCTCAATCCATTTAAATTGATTTTGACACATTGGCCGTGACATCACATGTTGGATTGGTGTGCTTTTATTAACTGCAGATTATACATTCATACACATGCAATCACTTCAACTCGTTAAAATTCTATTTACAGCTCGTACCGGAAAGATAACATTCAACGAAATGACACAACAGTATGCGTATTATCAGCGTCATAACATGCAAATTCTTTGACATTATCTATGTTTATGGATGCAGAACCAGGTGCTGTTTAGCTCCGATAGTGCCGACAAACTTTACAGAACATAATTGTTCATTTAAGATCCTCTTACAGCTGAAGTTTCCTGGTTGAAATATTAGAAAAAAATAAGAAGCTCAAACTTTCACTACTTCCACTGATTAACTTGTTATGGTTATGAATCTGAGCATAAGTCGAACATGACAACGTAGTGGGCATTAGATAATACCATAATATAAATAGTAGAATCGACGACGCGTTATACGATTTAAGCGTGCTCTTCTTAAAATCGAAATGAAGTATCATATTTGATGAAAATATGAATTTATAAAATTAAATTCACATAATTCGGAGTAAGTTAAATATAATATATTATATGCAAATTATAAAGCAGCGGCATATTTATATTAATAAATTAATTCAAAAATTCAATAAAGATTGTTAGTGAATATAAAATCTACTAAAAAAAGAATTAACAAATAGAAAGCTTAAAAGAGCAGTTATCTAATAAGTAACTACAAAATCACAAAACAATCAGTTAAAATACCTGTTCTTTTTCCTGTTGATTCTTTGGCCAAAGTGTAACAGTCAAACATATCTCCCCCAGATGTTGTTTGGGTCTGTTGTGGTCCTTCAATTCCAACAAAATATCCTGTGGTTGACCTAGATCCAGTTGAGTGAGATCCAATTGTGCCGCGCCCATGAAATCATCCTGCAGGCCCCAGTCGTAGTCGAAGACCTGTCGAAACGACCAAGGTCTTTTGCTAGTCGGAAGAAAGAGTAAGAAACTGATAAAAATCCCGGCGATCATCTCGAGACATTCTGTTACGAATTAACGAACGAACAAAAAGCACACGAGTTATAGAAAAAATATAATCTTGCTGTGTTCTTAAGCAAATTTATTTAGGATAAATTGACTCCTTTAAAAAGTATTTATTCGCTCTATAATGTATGTGCGCAACTCCTTTACAGCGATCAATACTGCTTTCGTGAAATATTTGATAGATGATAATATTTCAATAAAAAGAACAATAAAGAACTTACCTTGAATGTGAGAGGCTGGAAAGGATCCTCTATTGGCAGGGTCACACTTTCGTCCCAAACTGGATTTAGGTCGCGGTGAACGGTCCGTGACTTGTGCAACAATCGACCTCCGCTTTTCACTTTCACGTAAGGATCGCTGGCGCCTAGAACACACAATTGATGCCCTGTTTTTAAATTCTATTCTAAAGAATTGTTATTTGCTCAATAGCTACTACGATTGCGTATTGCAATTTTCGGTAGTGTTCTTTAAAAGAAGGTTTACAAGGAACTGGAACAGGTTGTATTTTTCAATTGACCGGTACAAGATGCATACACATGTAATACATTCTTGCTTTCTTTGTGGATAGTACAACTTCTAGATTAATTTCTCTGAATATTCTGCATATGATAAAGAAAGGTCATTAAGAAAGTGTTTGAAAAATATCATTTAAAAACTTCAAACTGTTTTTCAAGCAATTTACTTTAACATTTTTATTAGCAGAATGTTCAAAAAGTTGTACAATTATAGAAGATTACTTCAATATTATAAAAAATTGATTTCGAATAATCAGAAAAAAATTACTTCAAGACTAATTTGCACACTTCCCTATGTAATAAAGAATCAAGGAAAAGAAGAAAAAGAAGGAAAACGAAACTTTGTCTCACCACATCTATCCATAGCAACGAGATTCGCCCCTCTTCTGATGTGCAAACGAAGCTGAAAGAAAGCATGCTGCCTCAATGCCAATTCTCTCCTACGTGTAAGTTCCTCCTGAAGGAATGCACTGTCATCCTGGCTGATCGATCCTCGAGCATCTTCGTTTGAGTCCTTTGATGGTTGGAAGCTCAAGGATCCTTTCGAATGAGTTTCGCTGGATTTTCCAGGGCTGTCTTCCGGTCTCGTCACGACATTCTGCCTTCCTGCATATACCAACGGCGACTCTGCACGTAGAGGAACGTGAACCGTGTTAAATGTAATGTCAGTTATTTAAATATATAGGAACGTTGAGTAATAACTTTTATGAGATTGAAAGTTTAAAAGTAATTAGTAATATGCCATACTAAGTTTTTAAGATATACAATATAGGCATTATAACATTTTCCATACACAAAAGCTTTTCCACTTGAATGCATCTCTACATACGTTAATTTCATGATCATATTTTTAATAAATTTTAATCTTAGCTTTTAGCTTGATCCAATAATTTATTTTAATTGTAGGGACATTATAAAAAACTTAGATTCAACTGAGTTTGTAAATAATTAACTCGATAGCGGTTATACACGGAAGCTTTTCAGGTTAATATCAGTCCAACCATCATAAATAGTACCTTGAACAGCGCGGGTTTTTCAGAGTAATCAACATAATGAGAGATAAACGGGTTGCTCGTATCGATTTCCTTGCATTAACCGTGTGTGACCTCGCATTTTACACTTGCAAAGTTTTTCTTTTTTCGCAATGAGTCAAAAATAGAGCAAAAATTTATCCCTACTGCGCAGCAAATTTCAAAGTTCATTAAACTCTGTTAATACCTTATTTGAAGGTGAGCATCTCTTATGAAAGCGCATTACCACGGTCCTTTTATTGCTTTTCCTTCAATCATATTTCAAATAATCGAAATTTAATTTTCCTAGATTCGAATAATATCTTGTGCATATGTTTATATTTTGATTGTTTACATCTGCTTATTTTCCACTTAAATTGTTTATATCTTCGTTCATATCCTATCTATTTACATTCCTGATTTATCTCTTCGCATATTTGATTTGACTGTTTACATTTCAGATTTATCAGTTTATACCTTAACTTGTTTCTTTACAAGGTAATCAAAAACCGATAATGATACACGCGGTGTAAAATGTATTACTATTTAATCAACTAGCTGATTGCATCCTGTAAGATATAGGAATATTATTATAAAAATTTTAATACTTTGTAGAACAGTAAACAAGTTTTTAAATTTTGCATTTTAAAAATTGGTACTAACCTCTCCAAAGAAAAAATTAAAAACAATTTATAAAATCACGAAACAATCTTCATCAAGAATCCAGTAATTACTCTCCTTACCAATAATTAGAAACATCCATATAATCAGAAATAACTATATTTTATTTTAAATATAAATTACTCAAACATTCAAAATTTTATGAAAAATAGCGGAATAACGATTGAAGGAAAAGTACCTGGGTGATTGAGACAGTGTCTAGCCGGACTCTGGGTAGCCGACGAACTTTTACTGTGTTCAGAAGAGTAATCGGCAGCATAATCGGACTCGATACCCTGCGATAGTACGTTTCCGGCATCCTTCGATTTTTTTCTTTCTTTACTTCTATTGCGAGCCCACCGGCTCTTCAAGGTCGCGAAGAATATGTGCGTTCGTTGCGCCACCGAGGTGGCTTGTCGATGATGCCGATGATGATGTATGACACTGGATTCGGCTTGTTCACCGCGTCGTGACGGCGAACTGGTGTCGTTGTTCCGGAGCTCCGTGGCGCTTTTCGAGAGCTGACGGCTCCCGTTCAAGTTCAGTCGCGATCTCTCTTCCACGCGACTATTATCTGCAAATTGTTTGTAATACTTAATCATTTTATACTCGTAACAGCAAGTCCCGGGGATTATGGATTCATGTTCAATATAAATAGACCGTGCTTGTAATAAAGTTTCATTTTAATACATTCACTGCCATAAGGATTATTCGTAAACGGTTATTAATTCGTAAATGACGAAGGGTACCATAGATGTCACCCGTATATGTGTCCGTTGCACTTGACAGTGGCGCCATAAGGGGTACCGGCGATCGGAACTACGATGCGAATGGCACAATGGAAGTCGCTGGTTACCGGCATTACATTTGTCAATGGTAACAAGCAAGATATCCAAGCATTATCTAAAGGATTTCAACCAAATAATGGAATCGTGATCTTGTACCATAAATCGGATAGGATATTTACTACGTAGTCAACACGTTACTTCTAACCTCAATTTCAGTTTCATAAATATTTCCGTGTAGCAATTGTATGTTATATTTTAACCTTTTTGCACTTGACAGAAAACAAAAAGCGTGAATATCTAATATTAACATATATGACGTAACGTTATACATGGAACCCATTTCAGTAGTAAATTACAAAAATAGTGGAAAGGTTGATATAACAAATTTGAAGATAGGAGAAAAAGAAGAGCAAATTATGATAAATGTTTGCACAAAGTGATTTAAAACATACGATTGATCGGCTGTAACTGACAAGTACAAAAGTGGACGAAAGATTGCTAGGGGAGAAGGAGAAAGGAACAAAGTCAGAAACGTGACATTTACTGCACGATATCAAGTGTCGGAACATGTGATACCAGAAATAAAACTGGGTAAACGAATGCGAGTGGAGATCTATTTTCTTAATCATTTCACACTACGTTTAAGTATCATTGATATTTTTAATTTAGTTATAGTCTTCCTACATATAGATTAAACGAAAGTTAATTTAAATACACAATTCTTCTATTTACATGAATTCTAAATTTTTAAGATAATAACACAATGACATATAATAATTAAAATGCTAATATACAGAAAACAATAATTTAAGTAATTGTAATTTAGCTTAATTTAATCTAATTTATGTAAGTACATATGTAAGTATTTTTACAATTGCAGACAATAAGCTATCTAAAATTAATCTGTTAATTTTCAATACTGTTATTACAGGACCTGTGATTCTGAAACAATCCAGTTAACAAATTAATTTACCAAGTGAAGATAAAAACCATAGGGAAAAGATCGTATTTCAAAAAATTGATATAAAATATTCATATGTTCCACTGAAAGAACTGAAAGCTTTTCGTATTCGACACGTATACAATATCGTTACTAACACGATCGATTTCCAAGAGCACGAGAAAACCATCTGAGCCTTTGATTCCTCCAATGAGGTCATTACAATCACGTTCACAAAGGAGTTTAATTACTAATAGCGAGAGGGCAGTTATACCGCAACATTATGCAAGGAAAACAGTTAATCTATATTGCATTTTATGCTTTATTTTCGGTGACTAAACTATCTAACACAATTATCAAAATGTCTGGCAAACATAGCCATTATATTTACCAGAAGTTTTTGCTATCGTTGATAGCAGCTTTGTCATACAAATTTTTAGCTATATATGAAACTATTGCATCGACTTCAAATAATTCACAAATGTATTCTAGAACAAAAAGTCAGGATAAAACTAGGACATTTGACAAAGCTGCTACCCACGTATCTAGAACACGACCTATCAACCTGTCAATCTATCATACGTATATATACATCTAAGAAATTATTATGCAAATGTAATTTTTCACCGAGTAATCTCTTTATTACGTTCATAAAGACATATGTTAAGGAATAGTAATTACTGTACGCTACTATATTCTCAATAAATATATAGGAAGATTAATTCATGTATGCTAATCTCCCTTTCTGGTATACAATACTATACTAATAATTATGATAATTATTATTGTTATTATTACTGGCTTTATCGTTCACAAAGAAAATTATTCATTGGTCAAGAGCTAAAATATATATGAGATAATGCTCAAGAGCAAGATACAATCCTAATCATTGTTCTCCAAGTATTTTAAATCACGTAAAATGCTAAGTTGGAGATACCATTTCGCTTTAACAATACGCCATACGTATTATATCTACATTACTCGGGTGTTCATGCAACCGACTTATTAAGCAGGCGTAATTGCGTTTCGAATAAGAAATTTAATTGAAATTGCATGCAAGATAACTTGGTTTGCACCGATGTTAGCATCCTTCCAGGTAGAACTGTTAATGGTTTGCATCTGGTATATTGTTATACACATTTTAATGTAATTAACGGTATAACCACGAAGAATGGTGTAGTCGGTGGAACAAATATGGTGCGTCTGTAGATTAAAGAATTGTGATAACACTGCTAGATGCAGCAACACTCAGGGCCGTATATTTCTGCATGTAAGAACTCCACTAATGCGATGCATAATAATTCCACGTCAATATTTATTGAGAAGGTTTCGTTAATATTAATTTCGTTATTCATAAAATCTTCAACCATAGTTCATGCAAGAAACTATCGTTTTCCAGAAACAGATCAGGCTAAAACAAATGTAGTGAATTAAAATTTTTATATCTTCTATTTCCTCAAGAAAATTTACCTTTTATTTTCTCCCGAATAAAATACAATTAAATTATTTGAAATTAAATAAAAACTGCCTCTACAGATAAGTAACATAACAGTATAAATATATATTGTATTTTGATATTAAAAATGTTCTTTGTACCTAAAGGAACAAACACATGGCACAGTCGAACGAGACGATTGCCACTGATCGGGTTTTATACACATCAGCCGGTAACAGCTGCGTTCCGCTGATTGGCAGATCTTCAATACGTCATCGAAATTCAGCCAATCAAAAGTAGCGGTCAGCCAAGTCCTAGGTGTATTTATATATACATAGCGAACGTGTTAATAGGAAATTTATGAAGTTACTCTACCGTTCTTCTCTGCGAATATAAATTGTACACGCGTGACTCGTTCTAAAAATACGAGGGGAGGAGGACAAACAACGACATTTAACTAAGCTGCAAAACTGCCACAAAGCTTGGAGTAAATTGGAAATAACATAGGGAATTAGAGACACTTGAAACTTCAGTTAAAAGGTTATTGATGTACGAGACCCTTTGTAGGGAAACACCTACTTCCATGTTCTATGGGGACCAAATGGGGATGGTGTTGCAGATACCTAAGTGACATTTCATGGCATGTATGGATACGGAAGTAACGTTGAATAAAAAAGTGATTGGCGTGTGGGAGAAAGGTTATGGAACCACATATGAATATCCAGATACTCAGGAAATATACCCCTATATATTTGTCTATCTTTGTTTACCAAACCAAGGGAAGTAAGTAATTAAAAAGCGGTTAAGTTAATAGATTAATGAACTACATGCACTTTTTTAGATGAATCTGTGTCAAAACAAACTTTTCATTACCTAAAAAGGTATATTTAAGTTTAATAAACAAATATACTTTGTTAAAAAATATTTAAAAATATACATAGAATATTTCTTGAAAAATTATATTTCTGACATTTTATCTATGTATATTTTTCAGCTGCTAATTGTGAATATCTTAGGAGAAAATTTCTGTAATCATGGAATTCAAAGTTAACGAAGCCAAATTAAATTTAGCTAGATCTATTTTGATCTAATATTTATGTTTAATAAAAAGAAAACGAAATTTTCAAGAAAAATTGCATTTACTATCATTATTATAATATATAGTAATAACATTTTATGATTTTTTATTGGTCAAACTTTGTTTATTAAGTCATTCGATATTACTTTTCTGTGAAATCGTATAAGATGATTTAATGGGAGAAGGAGTACTCAAAGGAAGGAGAAATTAGATTCAACGTGATTAGATTTTGGTTAGATTCGCCGGAAACAACCTTAATACGTCGATCCACGAGAGGAAACGAATGTGATATGCGATCGTGCCATTATAGGATATTACTCTAACCTAATTGATACGGGTAGGCGAAAATAATACTATCAGACTAAATGTAGGATCGAGAAAACAATGACAAATAACATCATAACTGTTATATTTCTTCACCAGTAATCCAAGCTGAATGAAGTATATTAATCTAGAATTCCTCTATGTTATGAAATTCACTAAGCCTTAGCTCTGATACAACACTCATCAGGAAACATAGAACTCTATGTGCAACGCTAGATATCGCTACTTAGCGACAACTTTGTCGTTATACTTTTTTTCACAGACTATAACCTCTAACAATAAGTCAAATGATATTATAGGAGATCAAGATGGTGAATTGTTCTATAACATCGGACAAGTTTCTAAACGTTATAATAGACTAAATCATTTAATTCTTAATAAATCTTTCTTTTTTCTTTAGGTTTACGTTTGAGTTATGCATCAATGTATAGGCCAGAAGCTGGGATAAGTTGAATATATACATATATCTCAGTAATGTAGTATACAGTGATATAAAACAAGGTTTTAGTCTAATAACCAGGTAGTAACCACTACGAAACGTGATTAAATGGTTATGTAATCGCATGAAAGCAGATTCAACAGCAATCATCGACAATGCAACCTACCTCGTTGAACCTTGTTGACCGCGACCACTCGAATTCAGATTTTATTTAATAGTCTTTAAGTGATTTAAATGGGTAAAAAGCGAAGTTGGCAGTATTCGTTAAAAAAGTCAGATATGGCGAGGTTTTATTAGCCTATGAGTTATAAAAGAATCACATGATATGTTGGATATCGGTGTTAATACTTTGTGAGATGGTAAATTGGGAAAATTGAATTCACTGTGTAATATTTAGTGTATTATTTAATATTTACTTCCTACCCTCTTAATTGCCACAAATATCAATGTGGGTTTTACATTGTGAACTACTCCTTGGTTGATTACCTGTCACGGACAATGTTCACCGAATGGTCAACCAGTAATCACTAGTGATCACTTTCTTCAAAATCTTTCCCGGTTATTGAGCTACTGTGACGGCCTTGGGGGTTCTCTTCCGGTTCCAATTACCTCCGTAGACACTACCAAATCGGTGATAGGAAATAATCTATCAACCCATGAGCTTCATTAGATCAATACCTTCCTGGGTTACACTCTGATGAGATTGGAACTTAGAAAAATTTCCGCATTTGAAGAAGCAATTTCCTCATGGAGGGTCATGAAGGAAATCCTAGTAACCAAAGAGGAAATTTCAGCCATAGAAAGCAATAAAGGGAAATTCTATCAATAAATAAAACCGATGCAAGAATATTGAAAAAGGAATGGTTAGTACACATAAAGACAAATAACAGAGAGATATGAAAAAAGGATTTCAACAATAAAGATAAATGCTGTAAGAACACAAACAAAATTCTAATCCAATATAAGGAATAATACAAGGACAGTAACAACAGAAACGAGCAAAGTACCAACTGATACTTCCTATATAATCAAATATTTCAACGATAAATATCTTCCAATTCTCCAACCATTTACAAACCATTACCTAAGACAATGTATAATATCTGGCGTAAATCCTATGTACATGTGTAATTAATAGTACGATAGAGGTAAACATTCCTTGGGACGATTAGCGCACTCACCCACTTGTATCTGTTCACTGTCCTCCGACCCAGCGAGTAGTTCGACGTTCTTGCTCATCTTATCCACCAAATACGCGGTTTGTATTTCGAAGCTCCAGCTCGCGAGCCTTTAATCTCTTCTTGAAGTGCGCCAATCTGCCGCATACCGACAGCATGATTTCGTCAGCAGAGCAACGAACCTAAGGAGCATCGGCCACCGGCCGCATATCCCGAGTTTCCACGGGAACCACCCGCGAATCCCTCGCACGGAAGATCCTGGATCCCTTCAATGCTTCGCCGGCTGCTCCATACTTTTCGTGATTCGAGCCGATGTGATCAACTGCCATGATAGATGAAACAATCGTGAGAATGCGATACATGAATTTTCATTTACATTACCACTTTAAAGTTCGGGTACACATACCGTATTTCCACTCTATGATCGAATAAGTATGATAAAATCTCAAGCCACATAAACACGCGGCGCAAAATCGTACAAAATTGCGCAAACTAGCGCAAGATGGCGCAACAGTATCATTCTTATTTGCAGCTGATCCATGGTGTGTAAATTAGAAAGATGAATCGTGTACTGTTCATTCGTGTTATACTCTAGTTTCCATATATTGATTGGTCAATGTCATCCTTTAAAATATAAGAGTGAGGAAGAATAAATAGGTGATGTAAGCGAGCAGCACAGCAAAGATTAACCTCTCTATGTGTGTCAGTAATTAATATACGTGTATTGTAATAACACGCACTTTCCGTTGTACATTAATATTTAAGGTATGCGCACAATTCGACGCAACTTGGTACATGTTATCTTTCGAACTGAGGTACAGACTAAATGCATTGGCATATCTTATTATATGAACAATAACAAAATTTGCACATGTAATTAATTGCATATGTACGCAGAACTTTTGTGCAAGGTTTTTCTATAAATGTCAGTTTGATGAATGATTATGCGAAGATTGATAAGTATGGGTGCATTAATAATTTATGAAAAAAAAAAAAACGATTTCTGATGGTGGCTGTGATTATAATCAATCGAAGAATGAGTTAATCTTCTAGGAATAATTTGTATTTACAGAAGAATTTGTACAGAGAAGATTTATGTTAGAAATAGAAATGATTTATAAGACAATCTAAAACATTTCATACTAGACAGCAGGGAGTCAGAAAAGTTTCGTGACTAACGATGAAACGGTAAAAAGGGATAATAATACATGCATATACAAGACTGCCATTGATTAGTAAATAGTATAGAATGTGCACCGGCTTTGAGCTCAAGAAGGTACAGTGATATAATGTGTTGAGTGCCTCGTGTAATGTTAATACAGTGTAATAGTGTAACACGCCACAGTAACATCCTACATTATACGAATAACCTACACACCGTTAAACATAGTACGAAAATCAAATTTTCTACAAAATAATTTTCCCGAAAATGAACCCATCGATAGCAAACGTATTTACAGTTTCAATCCAAAATGATTTTACTCGTAAAGGCTTGCGGGATATTTTTACATTTTTATAAATCTTCCAACAATCGGATTACCAACTCGGGATTAATTTCTACTGTAAAATTTACACGTTTCACGAGTAAAAAAATATTTTTCTTCATCTTTTACACCAGATAAATATTCTATAAATTTCTGTTTAATTTATGACCTACTGTCCACCACCTGAAACTGTCCAAAATGATTCAAGATCGCATGAATATTGTGCAAATTACTTCCGCTTCAAAAGCACGAATTTCCAACGATTTTCTAACAAACTAATAAACGCCAAATTATGCACATATTCATGGGTGATATCTCTTTGTTACGCTTGTCGGTTAGCGCTGAACTGTTTAGTATTATTGAAAAACGTCCGGTAGCCTCAAAACGTGCGTTATTACGTAATGTCAAGATAGTTGAATGTAATACACATTATGACACTATTGCATTTAAAGTTAGTTTTGTAAATGATTTATTAATAACTGTGAAATGTTAATTAACAGGGCCCGTTGATAACACTAGCGAAAATTGAATACACCATCAGTAACAAAGGCTAATAAATGGCCCCAAACTGAAACGTCGCTATGCAGGACCTCAATCCGAAACACATAACATTCGTACAATTCATGTAATGGACCAAGGATTAATAGAAAATACAAGAAAAAGGTTGTATTTTCATATATTCTTATATCAAATTTTTTGCAAAAAATTAATTATTATATTATAATATTAGGTATTCTACAATGAAGAAATAGTACTCTAAAGTGAGTCATGAGGTTTTTACACACCTCAGTGGTTAGTAAATCACCATATGGTTTCATAAATTCCCTTGGTCAAAGGTTACACGATTAGTAGAAGACAAACATCGATCACGCTTGCGTGGTTACTCTATTTGCCAAGTTAAACAGAACAAGCATGTTGATCCATAGAGAACTATAAGTTATTGATGAAAATCAGCCTTTATTTCTATTACACACTTTCTATTATAATATTATTATTTTCGACAATGAATATTTAAAAACTTATTTTTCAATTTAACTAATAAAAAATTATTTTTCAACTTTTTAGTGAGTATAAACAATGACTAGGAGAAAAGAGAAAATAAAGAAATATAAATATCGTATATGTGGAATAAATTGTTAAATCATCGATTTTCTCAAAAATGTGTAAGTACAAGAAAACAGAGAATTCTTCTGATTCCAAGAAATGTACAATGCGCGGAAAGAACATAAGTCAGACTATAATAAGAAATCTCAGAAAATGTATTGTTATAAATTTCAACGACTTTCACGAAACATTAAAAGTTACAAAGCCGCCATTTTGATTACTTTCGTGAATTTTAGGTTAATTTTAACGAAACTCGTGTGGATATTCACTAATTAAAATGAAAATGTTAGAAACTTTACAAGCACGGGGAAATAGCTGAATTGCAGAAACGTGAAAAATAAATCTGAGATTTACTTACGAGGAAGTAGCAATTGATAAATAAATAATGAAGACAGCATACGAATCTAATTAATAATATAAATTTCTGGCTGCACGTTTACGTTTCATTTTTATTTAAGTTCGAACGTAACTTTTAATTGAATCACCGAGTTAATAAAGATGGTTTCAGTTGAGTTGGTTTTCATCAATTAAAGAGTTCACAGAGGAGTGTTTTAGATGGCCTTCGGATGATAGCCGATCCCGTATTGATGGAACGCTTGAATCATTTTAGAGTTTCCGCATGTTTCAGTTTTATTGAAAATTTCTGCCAAAATTAAAAGAAAAATTATATTTAATTTTAAATTTGTATTTAAACTGAAGCTCGAAGTTTAATTCAAATCTACTTCATAGTTATTTTCTAGAACCATCGTAAAAAGAAACTAGTCAAGATATGGAATCTTTATCAATTTCATTTTTGATTTTGTACAAAAAATAAAAATTACACTAGTGAAATCTACGCTTCATATCTCTCGTACAATCTAATCAATAAAATTTACCATACTATATGCTATACTATACTCGTCTCATATTTTAAAAGTTCTTTTAAATTTAAAATATGTAGAATGTATAATAATCGTTATATTAAGACGTATATTGAGATAGATCAAACTAGTTATAAGTTCGGTGTTCGATTTTACTTTGTAAGACCTTATCGATATAATACCGTAGGCAAAAGTTGAGAACTTACAATATCGATTCCGGTTGAAACAGTTTCCGGGAAGAGGAATCGTTATTTTCTGTAACTTTTATACAAAAACAAAATTTTCGATAATATTGATTGTTGTTCAGTTCTATGTAATATATATATCTCCGTACATTATATACTCTTTTCTGGATCGATTTTTGCTGAGTTGATTAAATTAATATCCTTTTGAGGTTAATACCAGTTGCTACTGTTTTACAATTTAATTTGTTAACATCAGTAGTAATAATAAAATACCAAGAATTTTATGAAAAATTTCGTAAGTTTAGAAGGTGTATCAAGAAAAAGAAATATATATACACGTATGTATAAATAGAGCCGATATTTCAAAAGCCACTAGAACCGTAACTGGAATCGATATAGATAAAGAATTCCTTCGTCATAACAGACATAACAATACCTCGATGTTTCATAATCATTTCGGAATAACTATTTTAGTATATCAGTCATTAATAATTATTTTTGAAAACGCTTCAAATCTCACCTAAAATTTCAAAGAAATCCATCAAACCAGTCAGAAATTGTCAAATAACGCACTATTACAATCGATCAAAGGTTACCCGATACAGTTTCGTGTAAATGCCATGAACAGTCAACTTCACATCGGACTTCTTTCGTAAATTAATCCCTTAAAACTTCGTGACCTGATGTGACTAGTTTTTACTGACACAAATACGTTCCATATGCAACGATATTGCTTAATGGGTAAAGAAGAGTAACTTCATTAAATCGAAAGTCCAATTGGGTGAATTCGAAGAGCTGGGAAAGTACGATCCTTGCCCCCGTGTTTTGTTAAATCGGAAAAGCGCCTCGTGGCGGAATGTTGAGGAACGACGCAAAGGAATAGCTAATACCACTCGGTAAACATCCAGGACTGTCAGAAGGAAACGCTTATAGAACACTCGTCATTGGTAATCTACTCGATTTCGTTTTTAACTTGGTTAATTTCTACGTTATCGCGGGACGGCGACTAAAGGATACTCCAATTAACTCGTTTAACGATTATTAAAAGCCTTCGCGGAAATCTTACCCGCGAAGAACTAGTCCGAGTAATTCTTCGAATTTCTTTTACACTTTTCAACAGCGTAACTTTTTACAATTTTCATAAAAGCAAATACTTCTTTTCGGTATTTTTGATTTGTAATCTTTCTATTTTTATAATTTCTATGAAAAGAAAAATTCTTCATTTTTTAAATTCAGTGTATTTTTTTTTAACATTTGTTAATTTTTCACTAGTTTTTGATCCTATTCTCTCCTAGCACATATTTTTTTAATTTTTGTAGGATGAAGTGGTACTTGAATCCTTTTTTTCTCCGCTGTTCCTCTTTAATAATTTTTAAAAAGAATTGTAGTACTTGAATCTAAAATTATAATCAAGATTTCATTTTAGCTAGAACAATTTTACAAGGATGCAGAATGAATAATTGAATATTATTTCAGAAGAAGTATTTCTTATATTCAAAATTTACAATAAATAGATACATACAGCGTTAACAGCGTGTTGATTAAAACGGCAATTATTTCTGTAACTTCCAAGGATATTACGAGGATGACAAAACTCATCAGCAAATGTACGGCTGACCTAAATACCCTTCAACCCCAGAGCAACACCATAGTCAAGGATAACGAATAAATTCGACCAATATACGTCTTTAAACGAAGTTTCTGTGTTGACACACGCAATTCTCCTTGTAACATGATATATAATGGTATCGTCTACCACGCGTTGAAACCCAGATGTTCCGAGAATTCGCGATAGCGAAGAAGTAACAAATATACGTATCGATGACATTGGCAATGACAACACTTCGGAAACCTAGTTCCAAGAAAACTTAAGGGGACAGTAACTGAAACTGAAATCCGTTAAAATTCGAATGCTTCGGCGGACGATAAATAACATGCCTAATACGTATCGCCACTGACTGCATATATCATAGAGGGCCAACTCAGAAGCGAAACTGATGCTTCGTACATTTCGTTCAACTTCCATACTACTAATACCTCACTTTTAGATTTTTAATAATATACGCTGACATAATAATTTTATTGCACTATAATCTCATGCTAATAATTCTATTAATATCATTCTATTGTGCTCAACTTTGCATTGTTTTGTTATACGATGCCATATAATCCACGGTATAGGCATAACACCCTTGACCAATGAAGAAAAGCTGCGATAAATTATGTTGCATTGTTGCTCGCGCTTATCTCATAATTAGGCTACTAGCGACATCCGCTAACCCCTTTTATCGGTAAACGAATCACGCCGCCATCAATGTGCGTGGCGTATAAGGGAAACAATCCTCTCTCTTAACGTAAGAATATACATACTTGTCCTTCTATTAAGGATGCTCTTTGTGATCTACAAACAATAATAGGGTTTTGAGTTAGGTCTCCGTGAAGTGAAGGGAATGTGAGATATTTAGCGTCACATAGATCACCTACATCCCATAATATTTATCCATGATATAGTTATAAAAATAAATATGAAAACAAGAAAAAATTATCTCATAATTGCAATAATTTATGATTAAATAATATAACAGTTTTTCCCAAGATGAGCATCTTGCCAATAATAGTATCGCTATTACTTGATAAATTTTAATAAAATTTAAAATAAAAAATAATCTTTATTTAACATTCATCATTTAAGTGGTCTCTTCTATAGTATTAAATCTATACAATTGAGATCAGACAATTTGAAAATAAGTACTTTAACAACATAATTTAATAATTAAAATGAAAAAAATTCGATTTTGAAAGGCCACTCATAGTTCGTATACATGTTTTTCACTACTTCTAATCAACTCCATCTATACCTCAAATGCACAACGTTCCTACGAAGCCTGAAATTCTATTCGTTCCTATGAATTGCTCAGGTACGTGATAACATAGTTCGTTTCCTTACACGCGATAGTAGTTTCTCATGTTGAAAGAACATGATCTCAAACTTTCGTCTAGCAAACTTATTTCACCATTTACCATATTAAATTTACCGACAATGGAGTTCTTCAAATGCTATACTTGATATTCTTGACACTTTGTTCAACTTCCCAAGTTTTGCATAATTTATTAAACAAAATTAGAATTTCAATGAAAATTCTGTTTTCCGTCGCTAAAGAATAGTCTGATTAAAAAAACAACATTTCGTTACTCATAAATAATGTGTTTTGCATCTTATACCGAATAGTGAGGTTAGGAAAAACGAAAAGTTATTGTTAAAAGAAGTTTCTTCTTTTTTTACATTGTTATAAATTTCCTTTCTCCGTTTAAATCAATCTAACAAAATTTTTTCCGATTATAGACTTTGAAATGATTTAAATTTTGTTTCAAAATAACTTAGAGGATTAATTTCTCTATCTTTGATAAAGAAGGGAGAAGAAGAGAGACAAGGAGTGATGCAAAATTTTGATGGTAACATACATATAAAATTAGAGAGAATAAGATTTATTTATAATTGAATGATGCGTTAATGCGACAAAGAGTAATCGCGTAACATGTTGTTATCAACCCGATTATATTCTTTAACGAGGTTCACATTCGTGCCGCAATTTCCTTCTTTGGCCTTCATAAAAAAAGGCGTTATTCTTTTTGGAAAAAAAATATAGCATTAATAAGATTCTCCGCACAATACCAAGTGCTTTAAGCCTCGACCGAATTTTCTTTCAAGTTTCCCGATCGATTGTGGAACTTTTCCGACAAAATTTATACGAAATGTCGGTAATTGCCGCAATCTTTCTTATTTTCCGCATCGTTAAAATCACAATTGATATTTATCAATTGAAACACTTATATCATGTCATGTATTATATTACACTTCGTCTCTGAGCTTACCCAGCAATCAAATTTCTTAACCCCTTTCATTGTCTTTGACCATCATTCTCATCGATAGCTAACTAATAAATTGACTTAGAACGCAAAAAATATTTCGTTTCAAATACAAATGTATCCTACCCAGGGTGCGTGTATTTTTGTCACAAAACATCACTACTTATCATTGTGTAAGGGCAGCATGCAATTAATTATCGAACACATTACCTTATGATTGGCTCGCGGAACACCTTGATGAATGTTGCACTTATAGAATGATATAACTCGAAAAACTAATTCTATAACTGCATGAAATTATGGTAAACTGACGAGAAAAAGCAACGAGCGCACTAAACTTCACTAACCCGACACTTTCATGTCCGAGAGGCCACTGACAGAACTCGCGATTTCCCATCTTGTTCGAATACTCTTTCCCCCACTCAGTACCGTATCACTGGAAGGGAGAGTAGCATGACAAGGAAAGGAAATACGGTACACAGTGGTAGCGACAGAGGAGGAATGAGGCTCTATCGACCCAACCGAACCATCATCGTGCAAAAGGAGATACACTGGTAGCGATGGGTTTGACAAAACTGTTTCGATGTACCGCGAGGTTTTTAGTTATCTAAATTAGCTGTTATAATATGATACAATTATTCACTGTATTCCTATTTTCATTTTAGCACAGTTTTCACTATTTAAAGATTTTTCTCATCGTTACCCAAATGTTATCAACAATGACATACGCGGTGAAAGAAAAATAGATTTAAGTACCTATTAATACGCGAAAATGGCAAATATAGTATTTTAATTACATCGTTGTAACATATGACATAGTAGAAAGATATTTGATAGTTGCATACAATATTGAAATACGTATATAATTGACTTTTTCATTCATAATTTTTAATTTCGAATCCTAAAATTCTTTTCTAACCATTGTACTTACAAAAAATGTTTCCACGTTAAAAACATGATTTTCCAAATTTCTTTTGAAACAAGTCGCTTAAGAGGCATGAGAAAAGTGTTAAAAAATGCTGCGTATCAACAAGTTGTTAAATGCTCACAAAGTGGTTACATTTTTTCCTGAGGCTATTAACGCCAAGTGAAGGAGAGGATCAATGCCATCACTATGCACATGCACGTTTCCGCGGACGACGTTGATGTACGACAAAACGGCGCCAACGTGGTCTCCAGCAGTGCAATAACGCCTTTCAAAATTTTGACGCTTTTAAGAGGGGCTGCGCAGAATGAACAATTGAAGAAAAGACAGTGAAGCAAACACTCATAGATAAGCATTACACATAGAAGGGCGATTCGAGTGCTATCCACTTCATCTGAAGGTCAATTCTTTTCCAGAAGATCAAGTGTATGAAATTCATTAGATTATATCGATTTTTTGTTTCAAATATCCCTTCGATTACGCGAAATTTATGGACACTTTAGAAAATTAATTCGAACATTTCTCATGATCCCATTTGTGTATACGATAAATGTTTTTTAATACGTTATTAACAAAGATTGGAAAATGAAAAAACTTACTAGAAATAGCTTGCTACATCTCATAACGATATTGCTTGATTAATGACATAATTTTGATTTTGAATGTTCCGTAGATTCTTAAATTTCATTAATTTCTTTTTTTTTGTTTTTTTTTGCCGTAACTTCGTGGTGATGATGTGTCTAACAATAACGATATCACTATAATTGTGTACTCTCCTTGACAATTTTTTTATCTCCTTCAGTGATCACTGATCCTCGTTTATTGATTCAGCCATTCTAACAAATATAACTTTAGTGTTTATGACTAAAAAGGAATTAAATTAATTAATTTCGTTGGTCACAATATTATTAAGCTTAAAATATCTTATATGACTTTACCCAGATATTCCACTGTGTTGAAGAAACAATTTTTGGAGGATCCTCGATCTACGAAAAGAAAAAGAGAGTTCTATTTTAGTAACGTGTTGTACGGAACTGAATATGAAATTTTTATTAATCGAGGAAAGTACATTAAGATGATTAGAAGAATGAACCACACCTGTGATATCTTTTGCACACAACTCCTCTAATTTTCTGGTATTAAAACAAAAGTTAAATTAAAAACATCTAAGATTTATCGATATGAGGTATAAAAAATTTATTCAGATTTAAATTCTACCTGTATTAATAAAGGTTTCGTTTTTATTCGTTTATCCATTATGTATTTCTTCTTATTTAAACACTCGATTTATTAAAAGCTATTGCGTCGAAAGAATTACACGTACGTTAGCACACTATTACGACGTAGCTTCCCTTTCATGTTTATAGTCCATTTACAGCTGTCATATTTTCCTTACTTTACCCGTGGTTATCTTTTTCAAGCATCTGGCTAAAAAATACTTGGCCTTATATATTTCACGCAACGTCGTATGTGAAAATATTTCACCTGTTTTAAAAATTATGTTAACATGTTTAACGTGAAAAAATATCGTATAACAATTAAAATAAAATACGTTTCAAAACGATATTCATATTTATTTTACTCCCCTGCAATTTTCCGACAAATTACAAATTATAAATTATTATATATATCGACAGAGTTATCGACTATACTTACAGATGTACATATTTGTTCATCTCATTCGTTTCATTTGTTTTCCCATTTATAAGATATCAATTACACGGTATATAAAAAGAACAGACCTAAAAGTGATTATGATTTCGAGAGATTTATCATTTAGTAAATAAAATCCATACCTTTTTAATTAGGTTTAATGTTCGTCAAAAGTAACCTATTACCATGATCGAATTAATGACGAATCACTTAATTCACCAAATTTTTGAATTTCGTCTTTAAAATTTGAAAATATTGCATTGTTTTCAAATTTCAATAATCGTTTGCAACATTTTTTCAGATAGCAGTTAATATATGTAAATCTGAATTACCGACAAAGATAAAACAACCGTAAGTCAGCGCACTCTGCGACATTCATAACCTAAGGTTACGTACTAAAATCTAACAGTTAAACCTAACTTTCTTGGAAAGTTTGATTAAATATGTATACGGTCGTAATCGTGCATTGTAAACCTTCCCACTTAGAGTTTTTCCATCAGAACTCTTTTTAAGTAGCAAATGAAATTTGCAACAATGTTTCTAATGTTGGCAACTATGTTTGGCAAGCAGCCATACGGTTGGACAGTGTGAATGTGAGCCAATTATGACATAATAATGTTTGATTATCGTAATACACAATGCAATGCCGATAGTCATGATTTATACATTGCATAACTTTGTTACATAGTGTGAGTCAATTACTGCACTACATCATTAAGCAACGACACGAATAACCTAAATCTTGTGAAACGATATGCTCTGGAGATTCGAAACGTTTGACTGCGAAATTTGTCCTAAAGAGAGTGCATCAAAGAACAGGAATGCAATTGTTTTGACACAATAAATAATGCAGAAGTACGCTTCATTTTGTAATTGAACCATTATATAAACAATGTATAATTTTTCAGAATATCTACTAAAAAAAATGACAGAAACAACAGAATTACATAGGATAAAAAAGTTTGATGGTATTAAATGCAAAGATACGAGGAAATATGGTGAAATTTCGAACAGAGACAAGTGCATTGCAAATTTACTATAGATGATCGAAGTACCGTAAGAAATTTTCATAATTCGACTTACGCTTTTGGAAATAATTTGAACATAAAACTGTTTAGTAAGGCATAACCTGCACCCTCTTTGCATTTAATACCGCCAATTACATAACAGAGACGCGGCGACCGGAAGCACCGATTAAGAAGCGCCTGTCAGCCAAAGGGTCAAAGGTATTTCTGTGAAGCCCTCAGGGTTGAAGCGTTTACACTTTATCACCGTAATATTATGATATATCGTTTTATAAATGTAATATAAACGTAACGTATATTACACAGCATAACAATTAAACTTGTAATGCAAAAGAATTTTTCCATCTTTTTCTGCTTCTCCTGTGTAACGTGCCTTAAGATAAGGACAGCAACGATCATAAAACGATTGTGAAATACAAATATATATATGTATAGTTCATCGAATTTCGATATTCTTTAAGTATCTACATACTTATGTTAAGTTTATTATTTACATACATACAAATATAATATATAATATATACATTATATTTATATCGTTACAGCTTTGCTTTTTTCCTCTCCCTACGAACATAATAAAGAAAATGTTCCCGCAGGACGCAGAACTAAATTCCTATGAAAAATTCCTATGAGATCACAGGAAATCACGAGTGTATGTAAACGATAATCACGCTAAAAATCGACCGCATTTTATTTTCACAATTTACAAAAAATATTGTCAGCATACACGGTATGCAGAATGTGGTTTTACGTTGGAATATAAAACTCATTGACAATCTATTATTAAATAATTAAAGAATAGCCTACTTTATGAGATTATCGTCCGGGATAATCAAGTCTGACTTATTAATAGAACCTCAGATCGATTGCCTTTGCGCTTACTATATTAGAAGTTTTGAAATGCTATGTTAAAAAACTACAAAGAGCTGTTCTTTTTGTATTTTCTTCCCTATGCACCCGCCTGTCGGTGTTTCTTTCATTTTCTTCCTATCCTTTTGAGAACAGTGCAATGAACTCGCATATAAAAAAGATTATTTAATCAATATCGAATATTTTCAGGTCAGAAGATAAAAATCGAGCAAGTAAACTAATTATAGAATAAAAACGTATACTCGACAGGCGAATGAACAATTTCGAGGAAAAAGTAACTTAATCATCGGGACAACGGTAATTAACTCCGCATAATAATGTGAAATTCGTTACTCCGAGTGAAGGCACTTTACCGGTTCGCACTTTTCATTACACGCACTCGTAAGATCGCACGATCGATCTACGTTCTGCTCTGTATTTCGCTCCAACATTAACTCATACGTTTAAAATGTCGTTTCTTTGTGTCGCGATAAAATCATTCGAATGGAACTCGACTAACACACGATCAAGTGTAATAACGAATGTTTCGATTTTCCAATTGCCACTACAGCTTTCTCGCTTCATCTCCATTCTACCTCTAAGGTTTACTCGATTTCGTTGGAACATATGTTCAATATGTTCTGAAAAATAAGAACAGTAAACTAAAATCGTGAGTCATAAAATACCATAAATATCAAAGATCAGAAAATAAAAAACAGTGCCAAAGATAAAGGATTATCGCTGTATTAGATGTAAAAAATGAAAGAGGAAGTCGAGATGTATAAGTCGTGTGCTGTTAGTCGAGTTTCATGCAAAATTTTATCGGGAAACAAATTGCATTTTCTTAAAGCGGTTATCATATATTTACAGATTCGCTTCGCAAAAATATTTACAACGTGTCATACGATATTGCTTCATAGATCGGCTTTGCATCTCGATCTTTACATCGTTCACCACCGAAGCCACACACGCGCGCGTGCGCGTTCTTGCACACACGTTCGCATTCATCGTCAGTGAAACAACACGAAAGTCCTCGGCGCCAAACAGGCAGAACACTTAAATCACGCACACATGATGTATCGCGTGGCTTGGTAACCAAAATCGATACGACCACACGCAGCCTTGCAAAGAAAGAATTCAATGGATAAATTTCCAACTTTACGAATTACTTTGGAAGCAAGTAACACAACAGCAACATTGATAGACGAAAAGAATTACTCGAACTGCCAAACTATTTTTCACGGATTATTTACACTTTTGCACACGCAGCATTTAATTTTTAACATAGCTGTATTCTGTGTTCGTTAATACCTTGCGTATACTCTACGATTTTCAGTAGATTCATCGGTCCCTTGTGATCTGATCTATTCAAACGATCAATAATTCGATTTTTCGGTAGATTACGCTAACGACGAAGCGAATGGCAATTTCAGAGAAGAATATTCGAAAGAAAAATGATGGAAATAACGTAGAGAGTTATTATTCTTTCTGACAAGGGCAACTACTACTATTTTTTTCCACAAAGGGTGGAAATTGAGAATTTTGTTGTGAAACGCAATCCACTTCGCATAACTTCAAGCAGAGATACATTTGTACACGATTATATTTTATTCAATTTCTTCCGATGATTCGGTTACAGGAATTAGAGAAGAGTAAAAGAGGCGGAAAGTAGCGACAGTAATAACGGTAGAATAAAGGACCATTAATGGGAGATTTTTTCCTCTGCTTCTGTCGTGTGCGAAGAAAAAGGTAATGATAACGCTAGAAACTGTACAATATGTATTTTATACATTCCATTCAGGCCGCTGTACGTGCTAATGTTACAAGTATATTCGTATCTATCACGCGTTGCTATATACAAATCGATACACGCTTCACATTCTTTGAAATCCACCGGGGTTTGCCCTTTAAAGCATTCAAAAATGGAAACAGTGAACGAGAGTGTCGATCGAATTTGGCCATTGAACTTCATCTACGATAAACTTAGTCTCTCTACGTTATTCGCCATGTTATAATCAGTAAAATACTTCGGTAATTGTACTTCGAAACATCTTTATAATTGTATAAAAATCTAAGCATTTCTATGTGACACAGTGAGTAGAAATACGATAAAATAGACAAAAATCTTAGAATAAAACAAAGCAGCCTTATTCTTTAGATCTGAAGAATGTAAAAGAAATATCGACATACTTTGCAATTTATGAACAGAGATGTATTCCTTCGTCCTTAACTCACTAGAAAAAAAAAGAACCGTGCAAAGAAACGGAGTATTTATAGATGGAGTGGTCTGTATGTCCATAAATACCCCGAGTCTGTAAATAAAATAAAAGCATTTAAATGGACAAACATGTGAATGATTAAAATACAAAAATTAATTAAAAAATCGATCGAATACAGAAAAGAAAGAAACGAGAAAACTGGATCTATGGAATAACGATTGTCGCGATCACGCCTACGGGTGCAAAGAAAATAATGAAAACTTTGCTTTAGTTCCTCTACGTGGTCTCATCGCGAGTAGAGAAAATAAAACGTTTTTGATCATGGAATGCTTTAAAGGGTTAAACAAATGGGTACGAAAAAAATACAATGTATATTAAACAGGATTACGGTTTGTCGATCGAGCGGCTGGCAAGGTCCTCGGTAGATTGCAATGTTTTATTAAACAATCAATTGTTTTTCCAAGGATTTATCTTGCTACACTTATTTCCTGTGCGTTTCACTATCGATATTACATATTTTGTTTCATTCGTGACAATGATTCGTTTGCTTGCTACCGAAATCTTAACATTGTTACCTATTTATCAAAAGATTCATTGAGATCCCATCTATGATGAGACTCGTACCATGAGACGATATCAATAATCAAGATACATACATAATCAAACTTAAACAATAAAGGAACTACTATTGTATCGCTGATATTGCGTGTCTTTACAATTACAATGTGTATACACAAACACGCGCGCGCGCGCACACACACACAACTCACAATTTTCTGTGAAAAATACTCTATCAATTTTTTTATTTTCCTTTCTGTTGTTGCAGGTGAAACATTTAAAAACGTTCGTTTGATCGTCGCAGTGGAGAGAGAAAGAGAGAGGGGGAAAGAGAGAGAGAGCGAGAGGAGAGAGAGAGAGAGAGAGAGAGAGAGAGAGAGAGAGAGAGAGAGAGAGAGAAAAGAAAAAAAAACGAGTTAATTGAGTAAACGAATCATCGTCAACGGAACTCGTTTGTCAAATTTTTATTTTTTCGATGGTTTTTGTTCTTTCGCAATGGAAAAAGCAAGAACAAAATAGAAATCATCGTACATCGGGAACAAATTGTATATCGCTATTATTTGCTTCGATTACGCGATCTCGCTTGACGGATATATTTTTCCGTTCTTTTTCCTTTCCTTTCGTTCGATCGAGCTTTCATCGTTCAATCCCGTAAAACGAAATAACCGTATGTACGACGTATATATTATATAACATCAGAAAAAATAGGGGAAATGTACGAAGTGGACCAGAACATAAACATTGCATTTTTATTAATACACTTTGAAGATTCATTGACATGCCTGTTTATAAAGAGCCTCGATGAAACGATAGAAACGTGGACAAATGGACGAGAAAACAGGCAATCGGCATTTATACGGTAAAGGCAAGTGAATAAAGAAGCGACCCGTGAAACGAATTCTAAAAATCTCGAGCGGCTCTCTTTCTCTTTTTTTCTTTTCTTGCTTTTGTTTTACACTCTTAATTCAGACTGATTCCTGTATACAAAGATAAGAATCACGCCAAAGAAATAATTTCCACAGGGTAATTCACCTGACAGATAAATATTCTTTATCTTGCTTGTACTTGTAATAACGCATACGTAAAACAGAAGTTGCGTTTGTCTTACATAAATCCTAAAAAGTAATAGTGATCATTATCGAAGCGACAGCCATTGACGATACACCATTATAATCCCTTTTTCCATCAATGTTTATCACCATTGATTGGAAATATCCATGATAACGTTGTATCAGAGAAATCAGGTGCCGCTTCAATAATACATCTAAATTTTAACAAACGTGTGTATATGTATGTGAGAATTGAATTGAATTTCTCCAAACAGAGAACAGATAGAGATAGAAAGAGAGAGAGAAAGAGAGAATGCGTTTATGTGTAAGTGTATATCCTTTATATCTATATATCTATATAGTTTTATTTATATATGTATATAGGCGAATCAATCGCACAAGAGCATGAATCTTCGACGAGGAAGATTACCTCATCTTGGATCACACCAGTTTTGCCCCCTTCCTCGATTTATATCGAGAAATGCACGAAAAGATAATCTCTTCTGTGACAGTTTGAAGAGTTTTTTTTTTTTTTCATTTAGTAATAATATGTATGTACATAATACAAAAAACGATTCTTTTTTTTTTAAAAGCAGTGCAAATCTTTTTCTTAGTAAAAATTGCAGCGAAAATTTTTTGTTTTCTTATCCTTTCCTTTCAGTAAGTAAGAATTCATGCACTTTCTACCAATTATTACCGCGTCCTCGACCTCTAAAACCATTACCCCTGAATTGTCCACCGCGTTTCAATCCCCTTGGCATGAAATTGCCGATCACAGGACCACGAGGCCCTCTATCCATCCAAGGAGCCCTGGGTCCACCTCTGAAACCTCTACCTCTTGGTGGACCCCCTCTCCATGGAGGGAATGGAACAGGGCCTCCGAGACGCGGTCGAAAATTCGGCCCAACCGGGACATCAAAGTCATATATTCCTGGATGCGATTCCGCAGAAACCTGTGGTATCGGCCCATTCAGTCCGGGATCAGACTCTGTTGGTGTCTGAGGACCGTTTGACAAAGCAATTCTCTTTTTACTAGAACTAATATCGTTCTCGTCAAAACTACCATTCGTCGACGGTCTCTTCAATTCGTTGCTTGGCGTCGAATTTCCAAGATCGTCTAATTGATCTGACATATGTTGTTGCTGTTGTGATTGCTCAGAAAAATTTGTTTCTGGTCCTGGATTTTCGACCGATTCGCTACTGTCACAGGTCTTTTCTGATAGAACGGCTTCCGATTCAATATGTTCCTCATACTCTGAGATAGGAACATATTGATTGTGTTGTGAGTCTTTGGTATCCGTTATTACGGACACAACAGTCACTTCATTTATCGATTGTTGTTCGTCCGGATCCGTAGTGGGAGGCTCGGATTCATGATCGTGAACAAGATTCGATCCACTTGAGTAAACAGATTGTTGATCGAGATCCTGAGAGTTTGGAGTACCATGTGATAATCTACGATCTTGACAGCGTTCTTCTTGTTCGGTATCCGGCGCATGCTCTGTATTCGCTGGTGTTTCTTTTTCGTTCAGCAGCCCTATTGGCATACCCTCTTCATCGAGAATGACAACAGTATCAGGAGCTGGTACTAATAAAGGTCGACTATTCGGCAAGATCTCCGGTGAAGATCTTTGATGTTGCTCTTGTGTTCGGGGTTTGCGATTGTTTTGAATGTTTCTTTGTTTGTGATCATCCGAGTATCTATCCCGTCGGTTCCTCTGGAATCCACGGCTACCACGACTTCCCCTATCATTTCGATGGAAGGCCATGTCTCGGTGTTGATGTTCTGTCGACTGGGAGTATCTGCTGCGCATTTGTGGCTCACCGAGGAACTCCTGATTAGGTCGTAATGCGTGATTCTCACGATATTCAAAGTCTTGTTTCGGAAAATCTGATTGAGTTTGGTGCATGTGATGGAATTCTGGTCCAAAATCTTGTTGATTTTGGATGAAGTTTGGTGGTGGCCTATTTTGATGGAAATTTGACTGAGCCGGATGAAATTCTGTTGCAGAATTGTGTCGAAAATCTGATTGGTCTTGATGAAAAGACGGTTGACCAGGATGAAACTGTGGTGGTGGAGGTGGAGGTGGTGGAGGCCCTGAATGCATCATGTGCACATCTTGCATTATTTGCCCGTGCGATCCCGGCATTTGCCCCGTGGGAAGTGGAATCATTCGCATGTCCATATCCATATGTTGTGAAGATGCTGCTTGATTACCAACTCTCATGTCTCTGTCTTGCGATCGCACATCAACCAGTACCCTTCCCTTTGGTTTACTGTCAGTTTCATCATCTGACATTTCCATATCGACGCTTTCCACAATATCACCCGGTTGCATATGTTGCCTGATTGCGCGTTATAAAGCATTAAAGTTGTTACATAAAAACAGATTGTTATAATATAATACTATGAGATTTTAGTCATTGACAAGATTTCAATGTCTTACCGGTAATCCTGATCGCCAGTAGACCACAAACTATTACTATTAGTTATCGCATTCAAAGTATCGTTGACATTATGATTTGCCGGACTTCCTGTTAAACTGATTAAGTTGCGATGGTCAACATCCGCTGCTTTCATTAAACGATATGGTAATTGATTTTCTACTGTCATCGGAATAGGTATTACTCTAAAAAATTGTATTTAATTAGAAACATTTTTACTTTTTCTTTTTTTCTGTTTTTCTCTTTTGAGATAGATAACGTGAGTTCATCTGAATTTTTATTTAATTTTTCACCTATGGTCTACGTCTCCAGCAGCATTCAAAAGAGATTCTTGTGGTTGGGAGTCATCATATTCAACTGGATCTGTAAATCCTGTTTTCTCGTACATGGGTGGTGATTCTGGTGTTTCAGATAGAATTTCACTTTTTCCTCTAACAGTGTTTGTCCATGTAGAATCATTATTGGAATCCCATCTATCTGTATCGCCATCCATCCATGTTTTTGTTTTTTCGTCGCATTCACCAGGCCAGGTTGGATTCATGCTATTTTTTCCTACAAATATTATTTAATATGTTACAAATTTATAATGCTAATGTCAAACTGTTATATCTTATGTTTGGACATAAATTCATACCCTTCTCTTCCCATTTAGCTGCTTCCTTCATAGTTTCAGTTGGAGGCGTCCATGTAGGAAACTTAGGTGGTAATTTATTATAACAATTTTCATCATCGAGAAAAATAGGTGGAGGTAATGGTGGAGGTGGTAAAGGATTAACAGTATTATTATTAGTAGGACCATCGAAAGGTACGGTAATATTACTCTGACTGTTTTGACTGGAATATGGCGAAGGAGTATGCGATTCGCCGGACAAGTTTCGAACAGGTAATGGAGTACTGTGAGTTATTGGGCAATTATTCACGCCTATAGGTGTGTTCTGATTACCCATCATTCTTGAGATCACGGGAGTTACAGGATGCTGCACTAGCACCGGCGAATGTCTATAATTCGAACGCTGTGGAGATTCCACTTGCGATTCTGGAATATCTAGACCAAGACCAGGAATACCACCAGGATCTTGTGTTCCATCAGATGAAGGAAGAACAGTCTTTAAAAAACTAGAGATATTAAAATCTGCACTACTATTTTCACTCTTGGAGGGCCTCAAGTTGATTACTTCTATTGGTTTAGCCTAATAAAACAAATGTAATATTTGTATACTATTTTACTAGGTGATAAATATTTATTTCAATTAATTATACCTCTATCGAATCATTATACTGTTGTGACATTCCAGTCGGCGTTGACGATCTTTCGTTAAATATGTTTCTCTTTAAAATGAAAAGTAAATAATTTATTATAATATTCACCCAAAATTAGCATATTCTTTTAATCACAGTGCCTTACCATATTACCAAAGTCCACATTTCCTCCCATAAAAGATGAAAAATTATTAGTGAAATCACCAGAATCATTACCCTGACCCATTTCTGGAGCTGGTACAGGTACTGGATCATAGTCATGTGAATATGAACCATACATAGATGGTGGTGCTACATCTATCATCCCTAATTGATTTTGAGATTGATTTTCTTCTCCTGGAAGTTCTATATCACTATCAGGACTTGGAGATGGAGCATTTATATCTGGTGATGGAATTGGTGAAACTAGTGTTGGTAAGAGCTCATCTAATTTCTTTTTTAAATTTTTTACACGACTTCCAAAATTTCTATATGCCTATTAATAAAAAACGTTAAAAATTTTACAAAATATTAACAACTATAACAGATAATATTCATTATTTCTCTTTTTAATGTACTTACATTAGTAACTATTTTCACTTCACCTCTTTGAGTTTCATAAAACTGATCAGCCTGTTCATGCATCTTCAACCCTTCTTCTATCCTTCAAAGAAGCACATAATTCTTCTGCATTTTCTATGTCTATATTACTTTCACGTAAATCTCTTAATCGTGCATCAGTTGCTTGTTCTAATGTTGCACATGATCTCATAGTAGATATAAGCAAAGCAGCTTGAAATTCCTCTGGTGGTGCTGTAGGTTGAGGCTCTAATTTTTTTTTTGGAGCTGCCGAAATTAATCCTGATAAATCTGCGAGAAATTCTTCGTCGTACACTTGTCTTTGATCCCATATTTTAAAAATCCTTAATATACGATGTTTGACCTTTTCATCTCTAACCATAGTTGTTGCCCGTTGTAAAGTTGTACCCCAAGATTCCACAAATTCAAAATTTTTTCTTTTGGAGTATTGAATAACATCATTTGCCAGATAAAAGAGAGTAAGACGATGTTCAACTTTTACTGTTATATATAAAAAAAAACACCATTGTCATCCAACCAGTTACCAGATAATAAAAAATAAACATGAACCATGAATAATAGATTCATTTAGATAAGCAATTATAAGTACCTACATAATGATTTATAATAGCAAAATTAAATATTTTACTAATTATATTTTTTAACTTTATTAATAAAATTTTGTATAAATCATACTAATTTTTAATACAATAATGTCAATATTGTAAAGATTTTTAAATGTAAAGAAAAAAAATTACAATTAATATTAATGTATAAGGCTATATAACTTTATATTGAAAAAAGTATGAATTTACCTTTCTTTAAAACCTGCAACCAGGTAGCAACAATTTTCTTATGATGTTGTCGCCTTTCCAAACACCAAGCAGAAAGACCTTGTATTGACTCCTGCGAATCCTTCAATGTGTGAAGTCTTCGCTCGAAGAGCTCCACATCAAAATCACTTGTCGCCATTATGGATTAGAACAATTCATTTAATGTGCTGTTTATAAGCTTGATTCAATGTCACGATTTAACGTGAACCACCGAGAGGTACACGTGGAACGTTGCTCTGGTATCATAGGTATGTCTACCTAGCCAATCAACCTAACCAAGTAGTATACCTACTATGTCAATCGCCGGAAATTTAAACCTCATAAACTTTCATTCGGGTCAAACCATTTTATCCTTTGTATCACAATAATGTTTTCCAGTTCTTCAAACGCTGTTTCGCACAGAAAATGACAAAAATTTCTAAAAATCACTTGAATTAGAGTTCGCGTAATCCACACGCTAAAGACACCGCTTTTATGTAGCTTATGGTTCTCAAAGAATCTTCTTCAATACCATAAGGTAATTCGTCGCAACAATAATTTTATTCACTTGATATTACTGTACACATAACATGTCAACTTTTGTTGGATATTTTAGAACTATCGTATTTCTATGTGACTGATCTTGAAAACAAGTATCCGCCATCTTTTCAGAACCAAAACACGAGCGCGCAATGGCCGGCGCGATTTTCTAGTATATATAGCTTGAGACAAAATTCGGGAACAACATTTTCATAGGATATACCGCGTTTCGCTTTAAAACTTCTCGATTGATCTCTCTATTAAACGATGATTTTTCCCGTTTCTACGTTAGTTCATCCACGATTGATAATAAATAAATTATTTATAGTCACTTTTGATATCGCATTTTAATAATATTATGATGGTTTCTAATTGTAAAATTTTGTTATTTATTAAATAAAATCGAAAACTAGAGCATTGACAGTAAGATGTGAAAATGAAGAACATTAAACATATTTATAAAAACAATTATTTTACGACTTAGTACACAATTGATTATTTATTTAGGAGTTACTCATAAATAAATGCATATGTTTATATAACATTTTTATATTTTTAAAACTTGAATTAATTAAATTCAAGTTACTTCCAACATTATCAGATTTACTGTAGATTTGCTATCAATTTGATTAATTTAACATAATATAATTGCAATTATTTAGCATTTAACTGCATAATTTATCAAAGAAACCAAATTTAATGATATTTAGAAAGCGACATCTCGAATCGAAAGTTCATGAACACCAATCTGATAATATTTGATTCTTCTACAGAGTCTCCAATCTGCTTGTAATCATTCACGCTAACATATGAATATGTCAATTCTAGTGTAAAGTAGCCTCGTCATTCGGATATTTTATTTGCAGTTTTTTGCAATTAGATATTTATACAGAAGACTAAAGTTCAATGTTCAGTACTTTCCAATAAGTTGTAGCATCTCGTTTCGATCAATTGTTCACGAAGTGCTGTATAGTTCCACTTATTATTTGTCGGAATTTCGTGTGTTTTACTATTAAGAAAGTATTAAAATGTTACCGAGAATGAAAGTTTATGTTATTGGTGTTGGGATGACAAAATTCGAAAAGCCAGGAAAACGGAATGATTTTGATTATCCAGATATGGCGAAAGAAGCAGTTATGAAAGCTTTACAAGATGCAAATATTACCTATGATACTGTAAAAGCTGCCTGTGTTGGATATGTTTATGGGGACTCTACTTGTGGTCAACGAGCATTATATGAAGTTGGTCTTACTGGTTGTCCCATATACAATGTGAACAATAATTGTTCAACTGGTTCAACTGCCTTATTAATGGCTAAACAAATTGTTGAAACTGGTTCTGCTGATTGTGTCTTGGCTCTTGGTTTTGAAAAAATGGAAAAGGGTTCTTTAATGTCTAAATTCTTGGATCGTACCAATCCAATGGATAAACATATTGAACTTATGTCTAATATTGCTGGTGAGCTATTATAAATTATTTCAACATGCTTAAAAAACTTATTTTTTTTATTATCTTTTTATACTTTTAATGTCAGGCATAAATGAAAGCCCAATCACTGCTCAATTGTTTGGAAATGCTGGATTGGAACATATGAAAAAATATGGTACCAAACCTGAGCACTTTGCAAAAATTGCTTATAAGAATCATTTACATTCTGTTAATAATCCATATTCACAATTCCAAGAGAAATATTCTTTGGAACAGATAATGAATGCTCCAACAATATTTGGACCACTTACAAAACTTCAGTGCTGTCCAACATCTGATGGTTCAGCAATTAGCTAATGAAGGATTTGTTCATAAGCACAAACTTGAATCTCAGGCAGTAGAAATTTTAGCTATGGAAATGGCCACAGATTCAGCTTCAACATTTAAAGAAAAGAGTTCTATAAAACTTATTGGGTAAAAAACATAAATTAATGCCATAAATAATTGCTTTAGTTATTAAGGATAAAGGTGAATAATATTACTATATTTTTGTTTTTTTAGCTATGATATGACAAAAAATGCTGCTGAAAAGGTGTTTACTCAAACTCCTTATAAACCAACTGATGTGGATGTTATAGAATTACATGATTGCTTTTCAACTAATGAACTTGTCACATATGAAGCATTAGGTCTTTGTCCTCCAGGTCAGGGTGGAAAGTTAGTTGATGCTGGAGATAATACATATGGAGGCAAATATGTAATAAATCCTAGTGGTGGCTTGATCTCAAAGGGACATCCTTTAGGAGCAACAGGATTGGCACAATGTACTGAACTTTGTTGGCAACTTCGAGGACAGGCTGGAAAACGACAAGTACCAAAAGCAAAACTTGCTTTACAGCATAATATAGGTTTAGGTGGAGCAGTTGTTGTTGCTTTGTATCGTATGGGCTTCCCTCAGCAATCTATAACTAAGAGGAATGTAAATGGAACTGCAGATCCAGAGCATTTCAAAGCAAATTCATTATTTAAGTTATTAGAAATTGCAATGGAAGAAGATGAAGATAATCTAATTGAAAAAGTTCGTGGAATATACGGATTTAAAGTAACTAACGGACCAGCCGGTGCAGAAGGTTATTGGGTTGTAGATGCTAAAACGGGAAAAGGAAAAGTAGAATATTATGGAAAAACCAAACCCGATGTAGTTATCACTATTAGTGATGCGGATATCGTCGATTTTATTTCTGGAAAATTGAATCCACAGAATGCATTTTTCCAAGGAAAGATTAAGATCCAAGGTAATATGGGACTGGCACTGAAATTGATTGAGTTACAAAAGTATGCTGCCAAAAAGATCGTTAGTCTTCAATCTAAATTATAAAAAACAAAGATCTATAAATCTTCAATTCAAGGAAAGTTATGTTTCGCTACCGAAAATAACGTAAATAAGCTTTAAAGAGCAGAGAATTATATATTATATACTCATAGAATCAAAATATCACCATACTCGAGATTGAAATTTACTCAAAATCTGTACATTCATTCTACTATCTAAAATTGTTGTACAAAATACATCTTTTTTAATTATTGTTATGCATACGTGCAAGAAATTTAATTATTTGAAAGACATTAACGTTATTATATAATAAAAAGAAAAGAGTTTTAGAAATTTTGTATGAGATATATTAATAGTTACTATTTTGTCTTAAAATTCTATTTTTATAAAAACTATTTCTTTTGAAAAAAGTAAATCTAATAAAAAAAATATGAAGATATAACATGATAAACAAATGATAAAAAATAAAAATTACTATCAGTGATTCCTTTATTTGATGCTAATTATCTGTATTTTTATCAGCCTTATCAAGTTATTAAATAGATTAATACAATTAGACACCGAAAATAATATTTGGTTATCTTTTAAAAAAAGATTGTATTGTTATATTATATTATCATATTATAATTTTTTCATTTAAAAGAGCCATCCGTTTCAAAATGGTAAATAAATATTGTTTTTTTTATAGAAATACTTCATAAAAATTATTGAGACTCAATACTTTTTATAAAAATATAATTAAATTTATATATAAAAGTTAGAGTAATATTTCTCTAATTATTAACTAAATTGACTGAAAATGTATTTAAAAATTTGACTCTTTAAGAGTATTTGTTACAAGTGATTAAAAAAAACATTGTTATATGTATTGTAGCATAATACTTCGGAACAGGGTATAATGAAATATATTATATAAAAATTTTTATACAAAAGGTGTAGGGTTTCCAATTTATTAACAAATTATTTTTTATTACAAAATAAATGAAATGAAAATATTGAAATGTATTTCTTAAAACGTTGATTCTTATTCCTTAATTCCATAAAAATATTTATTGCCCATTGAATAGCGATTGCTTATTTAAGCTAATCAATTTTCACCGAAACCAATTTACTTCCATCGCGGAAATATTATTCAATGCATATAACTTGTAGAAAATAAATTCTTTATACCTGAATTACTGACACATCATTTTATTTGCAAATAATTCTTTTTTATTTTATTATTGAGATAGAATTCGTAAGGAAGTTGCAAAGTGAATAAGAAAAATAATTTTAACATATAAATTACAATTTAATATAACGAATATTACAAATTTCATATTAAAAACATCCTGAATAACGAAATTTATTCGATTTGATATTTTATTTGAAGTTAAAAGATGGAATACTTTGATGAAACTTTCATTGTTTGAAAGAAAAGCATTAGTGAAGGTTATTAAATTTAGGTCTAATAATTTTATAGTAAATAATTTAATTACGATTCAAAATGTAATTCATAAAGTAATATTCTTAAAAGGAAAATAATATTTATTTTTTTGACAATAAATCTCTTTTTATAACATCATAAATATAGAAAATATATCCATTTCTTGAAATTATTTAACAAAAAAATATGCATAAATTGAGAATATGTATATGAGTAATGTGCCATTCGATGTATATTTAATCACGATGACTGTCATCTACGAAATTATCAGCAATAAAGTTATATCGACGTGAAAAAGTATATGTTACAGATGGAAATATATCAAATTCGTAATATATCGAATCATTCCGCCAGTTTTTGCTTCGAATTTGTCTACTATCGAACAGATTTTCTAGGATAACTTTAACCCCACGTGTACATATGTATGCACAAAATACTTGTAAAGAAACGTACTATATTTATAGCTAGAGATAAATATACATTCTGGCAATAGTCCAAATTATCATACGTTCAGGTCCGAAGCGAGTAACGGCCTAACCCTTGTAATAGCAGCAGCGTGTCAGTGCTATTAGTGACGTCTATCGACGTTGCGATCATCGCAAATAGCGAAAAAAAGATAAAACAGATTGTGCGTGAAAAACATCGAAAGATGTAATGGTTTACGAATTTCATGAGTTACCGGTAGAGAAACACTTTGAAGAAGTGCACTCGTCGTATGTAGTGATAGACTATAGTTCGATTATTCTACGTTTATCTTTTGTATTCATTGTTATGAGATCGGGGGGTTTATCCTTATTTTGTATTCTTGAAATGGAAGATGTGTTCACAAACGTCGCCTTTAAGTATTCTTAACGGTGGTTAAGGCAAATCTAATCGCAGCCGTCTGGTGCATTTGAATGAACATCGATCAAGTAAGTACACAACGATCGACATGGAATTGCGTAAGATCAACAGAAAAAATTTTTCTGATTGATAAGAAGAATGACTATTTAGCAATCGAATGTCGTTTAACGATTATTTTCGATGCATAAAAACGTAATTGATTTTTTATATGAAATTAAAAAATATGATCCATTAAGCTGTTACATTTTTATAAAATAAAAAATAATATTATAAAATTAATATGAATTTGGCGTGGGTTAAATGATTTTGATATAAAAATTGCCTTACCACTTTATCTGAATGATTTCTTTCAATTTGACATTAATATTGTGCTTTAAACTCAATCGAATCTAATGAAATCATATTTTTAAATCACATTGAATTTTCCAAAATCGATACCTAAAAAAATAAAAAAATTCTTAGTTTCACGTAAAATATTCCACATAACACATTTTGTATTCGTTATAAATACAGAAATATTTATTTACTTTCCTCAACAAATTCATCAGAAACCAGACCAATTTACGTCATCGCCAATAGACAAAAGAACATTTGGAACCGTGTCGATGTACAGAATGTAGATTCCATCAAGGTTTCCAAATGCATGTTATAGATACTTGATCTATAAAACAGAGATTCAAGCTGAATTTCATTTATCCCTTGCCAAGTATTTCACGATCTACCGAAAGCCAAGCCTCGCCTTAAATCTCGTCTTTTCAGCTTGCGAAACTCGTACTCCTTTATTAATTCAAGGTTTCGTTTTTAGGTAGATTCTACTCTGATTGTTATCGGTCGAACTTCGAGCTTTCGATCCAATCCTTTAGCTGTTAGATTCGTGAAAGATTGATCGATATATCTGCGCCCCATGTGACGCTCTTACGAAATATGCTCTGTCGGAAATCGTTGGCATTTTCGATTTCCAACTTCGTACATTTCTCACGTAACGCGTTTATGGTGGTACGGAATTTAACAGGACTTTCGTGATGTGTCGTGTTTACATTAACAATATCTAATATTTTATATACGCCATACATTTACGTTCTAATCCAATTAAATCTAATGACTGATGTAATAACAGTCTATTGATTGTAAATAATGAGATATCGTGATCCCTCTCAAGATAAGCGTGAATGTTTTTGTTTCTTTGAACAGTCATTTCTACTCGCACGTTACTGGTACGATGTAAACTGACACCGGCGACCAAGTGTCGATTTAACCCATGTGCGCATGCGCACGTTTTGAAGTATGACATACGGAGGCGTTTATATGTTTACAACAGAATACTTAATGTGTGCTAATACGTTCAGAAATATAAGTTGCAGTATGTTTATGACAATATCTTATCTCTTGTTTTTATATATAGAATGCACCACATGTATTCCTCAAAAAAAGGAGATCCCCTCTGTCCTCTCGGTTTCCATCCCCAAGTGCGATGGCCGACCCGTTGCAAAAGATGTTTCAGGTATTATTTTGTCATATTTTTTTTCACTGAAAATGACTAACTTAAAAGTACTAGAATAAAGATATTAAATCTGATTTAAAGATATACGAATTGAGTATTTAAAGTAAAAATATGTTTAGAGATTACAAGGAACATGGCGGCAAGAGAGATAGCTTGAGAGATATTACATCGTCGTCACCCAGCCTTACGTTTGATCAATCCTCAGGCCGGTAAGCAATTAAACAACCCTCGCGTTATCTGAAATATGATATTGAAATGTCACATTAAATGTATATTGGTTACTAATTCAAACTTTTTAGCTATGAAACTATATTCTAATAATCTTATAACTACATGTAGCATTATAAAGGTAAATTGGACAAGTTGATCATTATACAAAATTCTTAAAATTAATACATGTGTAATGTACATATCTCTTGAAAATTATACACGTATTAAAACTTACACAAAAAAGATCGATTCGATATATCGAAATATCAAATAAGTAAGTATGGGCAACAATAACTTCAAAATTATGAAAATTAATTTCGAAGATCGCGAAATTGTTGAAATGTCAGAATATCAAAGTTGTAACCATATTACGACCTGAAACATAGAACTATGGTATCCACAACGAGTCTTTGGTCTCACCACGAAATTGTAAAATCTTAATGGTCAAGACAATAACGTCGAAAGTCTTAACTAGAACTATCTTAGTCTCGAGAGACCAAAAAGAACCAAGAATCATCCTGAATTTAAGAGATTCAACGTGTACAGTATGATCCTGGTATGAAAAACTGGAGCACAATCATCCCAAAATGAATTTCGAAGCATCGAAACCCTGGAGTAGTTGAGGACTGTTTCAATTTTATAGTTTTACGACTTTGAATTAATTCTAGCTTAGGATCATCTCAGTTTTATTTTCAGGGACTCTAATCTTTCGGATTTTCTAAGATAAATATTATTGAAATCGCAAACAAATTTTGTAAAACAATTTTAATTGATAGATCTGCTGAAAATGGAAAACGCGGTTGGTCCTCGGCAACTAATTTAGCAAAAGATGACTTTAAAGGAAGCTCGGAGACATCGTATGCGTCTGCCGGTTGGACTTCGCTCATGGATCTTACTGCGATCGATAAAGAAGAAGAAAGATTGGAAGGTACTTACATACAATTAAATATTCATTTCCATTTAAATTTTTAACAAATGTCTCTTCTTTGTTATCAAATTCGTTCCATTATTACAGCTAGGAGGCCAACAAAGCTGCAGATTAAGGAGGTTATAGATAACAGCAATGAAAGCGCCTCAGAGAATGATGTTGAGTTCATAATTCAGGTAAACTCGAGATTATCGTGATCTTTTTATTTTAGTTGTTGCTTATTGCGATGTTATAACTCCTATTTGTAATAGAGTTTTGTTACTGTATATAAATTTAAGCTAGTTTTGTTCGAATTGAATATATATACTCAGTATTTGAAATGAATTTATTTCGAATTATGACTTTATAATAATTAAAATCTATACGAGTTATTCATATCAGTATCTGGAATAATATTTAAAACACGAACTGAAGCGACAAATTTGAGCTTTCCGACAGAACAATTTTCATTCAATTCGAACTTAAACTGCTCGGATGTTTTGTGTTAATTATATATGTTCCAATTACGACATCAAGTTCAAGGATATGTGAACTTCGTATTACAAACTTTGCTCGTTGAACTCAATATTGGCTGAAATACACGTGACTATGAAACAGTCTTCTTTCGATAATTTTTAACTGTTTCGGTATCTGTCATTGTTCTGACACTCTTTATCTTCTAGTACTGCTCGAGCAATATATTTATGGTAAAGAAGTATGCAATCGCATACAGAAAATTTTTTGTTGTACATTGCTTTTTCTATTCAGGTGAAGAAGTCGAAGATTGGTTCTTCGAAAAGCAGCGAAAAAAATGGAGAAAGACGAACGAGAAAAGAAGAGTGGACGGAAAAAGTAACCATACCAGCATTCTTCATTTCATTTCTAATATTTCTTCTTTCATTGTCTGTTTCCTCGTGAATTTTACTAATTATTTCGTATATAGTACGCTTGTAGCAATAATAATTATAGTGCTCTAGATTATTAAAGAATCCTCTATGTACATGAAAATGAAAGAAATAATGATAGAATCTCTTATCGTTAGAACGAGCTGGAACAGTTAAAGGAACAAATAAAGGAATTGCAAGCACGATGCGAGAAGGCGGAAAAGGAGAAGAGCGAGATCCTAATGAGACGGTTAACGACTATGGAAACCATATCAAGTAAAGCTTCACCGAATGAAGTACAGAAATTACAGAAGAAGAATGAAGGTATTTACGAAAAAAATAATAAACCATAAAGAATCGAAAATAAATCTATCCAATTCGAATAAAACAGCTGTTAACAAAGATTAATTATAAAGATTCTTCAGACGAGCTATTTTTTAATAAGCAATAAATTATTGTTAATATTTTTTTGGTATTATTTTATTTTACGAATTTTAAATACAAATAAATTATTTCTTTTAATTTAATAAAATTAAAGTACTTAAAAAATAATGGTTAAAAATAATATTAATTAAATTTAGTGCTTATGCAAGAAAAGTCAAATTTCTTGACTAAGATAAGAGAACTTGAGAAAGAAGTAAACTCTAAAACATTCAGAGGAGAACGAGACCGAGAAAAAGATGAGTTACGTTCAAAACTAAAAGCAGCAGAGAATTTATGTGAGAATTTAATGGATGAAAATGAAGATATGAAGAAGGAAATTAGACAATTGGAAGAAGAGATATACGAATTGCAAGACACTTTTAGGTAATGTTACGTTTTCTATTTACTATAAATATATTTTTTTACGTGTAAAAATCTAAATTTTCTTTCCACTCACGCATGTTTACCTTGGCCTTTTTCAGTTCATAATGCCTTTTTTACTATATTTTAAACCTATGTATTATTAAGGTAAATATTTATAGTTTAACTGCTTTTTATTGTACATGTTATCCCTTAAAGTAAAATTCCATAAGCAATCGTAGTCTATGAAGACAAACCTTTGAACAAAAAAATTCGATTTAACGCCCTGTAATTTCATGTACAGTGCAATTTTTGTAATATTTTAATAAAAATCTCGTAAATGAAACAGTTATGACAAGGAGAATTGACAATTGGAATAAAACAAAATACAACGATTATTCTAAGGAGAAGAAGAGTTCAACCCATTTTACTAACTGATTTGTTTGAATTCAAATTGATTAACCAATCAGTATGGAAAATGATTGTCACAAAAGCGTATTATGACTCGCTCTCTTGTGATTTTTTCGTGTTTATCAATAACATATATGTCTGTTTGTATTAATAAACGCGACCGATTTTGACACTATATAACGCTAAGTATTTTTGTACAAATATCGTGCCATCGCAGAAAAGTTATCAACCTGGAAGAAACATAAAATCGTTTAAATATGAAGTATTTTGAAGGGGCTCGAATACAGTGGATTTCCACTTACTGCAGCGGGAATAGAAGCAGAAAAAAGAACTTTACTTTGGAGTAATCTCTTAAAGAAAATTATCAAATAAATCATATAAAAATGAAATACTCAGAGAAGTAAATCGAATTTTTTTCATAATTCATACTCGGGAGGAACGTTTAAGCAAAAATCAAAAAGATTAATAAAACTGTCACCTCTGCCACATAGTGTCTACAAAGAAAGGACACTCAGCCCAAAAATGTTTAGCAAAATGAGCTATCTGAATTGTTGCAGGACATCGATTTGGACGGAAGATTCCAACACGAGAAAGGCACTGCTTTTCGCCAAAACTGGATCGAATATGGACGTTTCATTGCTTGGTAAAACAAGTACTATCACCGACATTTATCTCTTATCGTTTTTTATATTCAAGGAAGGTGTTTAAAAGAATAATCGCGAGTCCCACGTTTTGAATCTTAAGGGCAGAGAAACAAGGCATAGAGTAAAATAGCATTTTTAATACAGACAGCAGTATGTGGAACGTTATACTGTCATCGAACCCTTTCGATCTTTGTACACTTTTTACGCATACGCTTCCTCTTGCTTCCGCCTATCCCGAATGGCATTTCGGCTTCCGTTTAATTGAATGTGTACGTGACCGATTAACTGAGGTAATTATAACACGCAGCTGAACCTTGCGGAACAGGATAATTTATAAAAGAAACACAAATATATGTAATTTGTAATGTCTTGAATATATTATTGTGGAAAATGTTCAGATGTTTGTTGACTTTTGAAGCTTATACATATGTGATCATCGACTAATTGAAATTATATTATGAATTTCTGGTTAATGAAATGATTTTATCCCGTTCCAATGTGGTATAGTTCTCAAATAAGAGTTTTGTTTAAAGTCTTAAGAATGTTTTGTATTGTTAAGGGATGAACAAGCAGACGAGCATGTTCGTTTGCGAAAAAGTTTGGAACAGTCAAATAAGAACTGTCGAATCTTATCGTTTAAATTAAGGAAAGTCGAACGAAAGGTAGAGGAGCTAGAGATTGACAAGACTACTTTGGAAAAAAAATACGAAGAGGCAAGTGTTTGGTTAAACTCAAATCGAAAAATTAATAATAGAAATATCTTATTTTAGGTGAAAAAGATAGAAGAAACATTGCAGAAAATTAAAGGGGAATTCCAAAATAGACCTCTAAGAAAAGCAACTGAGTTTACAACTAAAGTGCAATTAAAAAAAATGGTAGATGAAATGGAAAAGGAAATAGGTCTGTTATAAGTATCATTTCTTTTTTCTGATTATCTAAAGATATACAGACATTAAAAATAATCTTTGATAACATATAAAAGTGTAAATCAAATTGAACGATTCGACAAAAACTATATAATAGGGAAAAGATTCCTTAGAACTTCCGTTTTTAATTACAAAATTCAATAAAGTGCATTTTAAAATTTTTTTTAAATATCAGTGAAATGTAGGAAATAATACAATTATTCTTTAGGAGATATGATGACTGTCTTCACTAATATTTCTGATAATAAAGATGTGGATATTCAAAATATGAAATTGAAAGATAACCACGTGAAGTATGACAAATTTTTAAAGGAATATGAATTACTTAAAGAAAAGCTCGATTCTGTGTCGAAGGAATTATCAGATGAAAAAGAAAAAAAGAAGACGCAATCTAATATCAAAATAGACAATAAAAATACGGATTTGCAAAGCAGTAAGTAAATATTTTAGATTTGTTAACTGAATTTTTAAAATCTTTTTCAAAGAAAATTGTAATATTCTAATTGTATTATTTCTCGTAAATTTATTTCATTATAAAATACTTTAGTGAAAAAGAAATTGGACGAGGTAACGACATTAAGAGAAACGGAACGGAAGGTGTGGGACCAGGAGAAAACAGCGCTATTCGAAGAAAAAGAGAAACTAAAATCGAAGCTGCTCTCTCTATCTGCAGAAAAACTTAAAGTATATAACGAAGTTGTACAATTAAAAAAAGATTTAGGTATACAAATTATCTTAAACAAAATACTTGATCTTTTTCTAAGAAACATTCGCTTCTTTTCTCCTTATTTTACCCAGAAACGGCAAAATCATCGGAAAATGAAGGCACAAAGATGGAAAAAACTATAAATGAATTGAAAAAAGAATTGTCTCAAGAACGAGAAAAATTCAAGAAGCAGCAAGATGATTTATCAGCATATATGGAACGAGAATCAAAAATGAAACAGTCAATGACATCAGTGATTATTATTTTATATGAAAATTAAAGTATTACCATTAATACAATGATTAAAAGTTGTTTTCTCTTCCTTTTTAATATAGGTCGAACAAACGAAGACTAAGCTCGATACTGAAGTAAAACGTTTAAAAAAGGAATTAGAAAATACAAAATCTTCCAATTCTACAAAAATAAATGATTTAACTACAGAGATTTCGGAACTCAAAAAAGAAAAGGAAAATTTGTTGTCTCAAATTGATCAAGAGAAACAATCGAAAGAAACTGAAGTATCTACGTTGAAAAAGAAGATTAATTCATTGGAGAAAACTGGATTGAGTACAAAACGCATGAATGAAATGAGACAAACGTATAGTGAAAAAATTTTGAGTAAGTTGCTTCATTATGGCGGCGAAAAGCGTCACAGAAAGGTCTACATATGGTAACAGTATATTATATTTTAGACTTGGAGAATGAACTAAAGAAAGGTCAATTGGAGTATGACAAACTGAACGAAAAATTCAAAGAACTGACGAATTTAAACAAGCAGTTTGAATCGGATAATGAAACATTAAATAGGTAATTAATAATGCTATATATTTAATTACAATAAAATAATATAGTATTTTTATATGAAATTTATTTATAGTAAATTACGAGAACAAAACGGTGAACTGATAAGTATTCGCAAAGAACTAGAATCAATGCGTCAGTCCACAAAATTAAAAGAAAGCGAATGGCGATCAGAAAAGTCAGCTTTAGAAGTGAGTATATATTAATGCATGATATTATACTATATATTTTAAAATATAGAATGGTGAAAGATATATAAATTTTCCAGCATCGTATACGAGAAAGTGAGTTACCAAATAAAGCACTAATAACAGATTTAAACAATGATATAAGCAATTTAAAAAAGGAAAACAATACACTAGTAACACGATTAGAAGATTTGAGAAAAGCGGTAAGGAAACTAAGTGATATTTATTTGTAAATATAGTTATACAATAAACGTATTTAAAAATGTATACTTCACAGAATGATGACCTTTCTGACAAATTAAAAGACTACGAAGCAGTATCAAAAATCCATCAAGTTTTGACGCCAGACACCACAGCTTTGGAATCAGAAATACGAAAATTAAAAAATGCCCTTGAAAATATGGAAAAGGCAAAGAAAGCAGACTTAGCTCAGTGCAAAATGCGATACGAGCATAGAATCACTGCTATTAATGATGAAATTCAAGCTATTCAAAATCAGTTATCTAGATACAAACGCGAACGCGATACATACAAACATATGCTAGAAGGTGCTCAAAAAACTATCACAGAGTTAAAATCTGTTAGAGGTAAACAGTCGACAACATTATCTGGGAAGACTGATGAGGTTGGTTATTCTTAATCTCGTTTAAAAATAATTGTTACATTATTATTTATGAAACATTCGTCTCTTTTAGAATGAGGAAGTATCTGGTGCCAGTGTATTAGTTCTAGAAAGACAAATTAATAGCTTGGAGGATGAGCTTTCTGAAACAAGATTAGAGACATCTAGATTGAAAGCTGAATTAGTATCTGAAAAATCAGCAAGTCATGTTAAAGTATCTGAATTGCAATCACGGATTAATGAAGTACATAAATATCTTAATCAGCATTTATTGATACATTAAGATAAAACATATTTACACATGTTTTTTATTTTATAATCATCATGTGCTTTTAGCTTGAAGAAGAGAGAATGCTTACTAGTGGCAGAACAAAAATTCCAGGATTGAAAGTTCGTATGGAATTGGCATGGCAAAAAGAGAGAGAGGAACACCAAAGACTATTGCAAGAAACAGCTACACTAGCGAGGGATTTACGCCAAACTTTATTCGAAGTACATTTTAAATTAAAATTAATGTTATTAACATAAGAAACTTAAGCAAATAATCATTTTATAGATTGAGAGGGAACGTTCTAAAGAACGGTTAGAGAATAAGAGGCGACAAGACCAATTAAAAAAAGTATACGATGAAGAAAAGGAAGAAAGCAAAAGGAAATTGCTAGAGGTACATAAAGAAATCAATCAGAACTTAAAAATTTTTATTAATAGAGATGAAATTCATGTATTGTTTAAAAATATTTATTTGTCTAGATACAATGCGATTTGCTCGAGTTAAGAGATGCTCACGCGAAACTAAGGACTAGTAATGAGAAAATGAGACGCGAAAAAGAACGACACGAGAAGGAAAGAGAAGAACTCAAGGATGCTATCCTAAAGAAATGTAAACAGGAACAGATTGAATTACGAAACATTAATGTATTGATGCAACAGGTCAATGACTTAATGAAATTTTTCCCTGAATTAAACGGTATAGCAGAAAATGGAACTGCGAATACTTATACGCCTACCCCTCCTAGGCGATTGAAGGTATATTAAGTAGCAAATTTAATAAAAAATAAGTTGAGGAAATTAAATTAAATCAATATGACAAATTAATTTGACTCTGTAGGGACCAAAATCGAGAGAATCATCACCAATGTTAGATACGAAAAGTGATATAAGAGGTATGATTAAAATTAAGTATTGCAATCGAAATCAGATTTTAATATTAAATTTGTTGACAGGTTCAAATTCTCAACTTGGTGAAAGAACAGAAAAATTAGAATATACTATTAAAAAATTAATGGATGTCGCAAGAGAATTGAAGGAATCAAAGAAAGCAGCAGACGAACTAAATACAACACGATTGAAGAAACTTGGCAAAAGGTATTTACTGAAAGTAACTATTCATTTTATTTAACTAATACCTCAATACTAAATAATTAAACTTTGTAGGTCGACATCTGTGGAAAGTGACCCAGGAAAAGGTATAACGACATCTAGTTCGAAACCACGTCTTAAAAGAAAAAGTTTATCTTTGGAACAGACATCAGCACGAAATGAAGAAGTATATACATTATTAAGGTTTTAGCAAAAAGTATTCGTAAAAATATTATTTATTTATTTATTTATTTATTTATTTATAATTGTACAGTCACGCATTTGGGGTACCGACAGCAATATGTCCAGTTTGCAATCATTAGAAAGTTCGGATGCCGAAGGACGAGCGCTGAGTTTACAGAGAGATTCCAGTGTTGATAGGTAATTTAATAATGACCTCCAGCTTTGTTCGTTTTCGACAACAACATAGAATAGGACATCTAAAGACTAAAGTTGCATAGCTTGAATATCTAATGATAAAGAATATCAAGAACACGTAATTATTCTTAAAATTCTGAAAGAAGGAGTTGGAAAACTAATAATAATTAAACTTCTTATACTACTCAGTCGCCTCTCTAGTGGTTCTACAAAAAGTGAGATGTTGGATAGAGAGAAAAAGCACAGTAAAGGTATAATAAAAAAGATTACAACTAAATTAACTAAGTCAGCCAGTGTGGATGATCCAAATATTTCCAGGGATCTTTCTATTCAGGTAAATAAACAACAATATTATATATTTAAGAGAAACTATTATTTTAATGACTTTTGCCTAATAAATTTCTTCTTTTCTTTCAGACATCAGGATCTGAGACAAGTATCAATGAGAAAACGGAAAAGAAAAATCTGAAGAAAAAATTAACAGATATGTTTAAAAGAAGTTCAAGAAGCAGCAGGTAAATTTCAAATTAAAATAGAAATAGAAAAATCTATTTCTAAATTATTCTTAACATTTATGAAATTATACAAACAACTTTGAGTTTGGTGATACATTGAAGAAAGTATTATTTTTAAGATACATACATATATATATATATATATA